TGTGAATGTCGCATCACCGGTGAAAACTGCTCCACTAATCTGTTTATAATCCACGGGATTACGCTGATCGCTGTTTGGGTGCCGCGGCGGTAATTATTGGACATGTTTTGTTGGCATACCTGAAAAAAGAGTCACACGCAAACACACAGGAATCCGGCTTTTATAATGAGTTACACAGCAGCTTTAACATCTGCCGTAGCGCCCTGACTGAAGGTTGGATTATTTTACAGGAGAGAACAGTACTGACGTCTATAAATTTCGCCGCGCCCCGCGGGAGCCGGAACCGAGACTAGAGGTCGAGCAGAACTCCGGGCCCCTCTTTCTCTTTGCGATTGTCGCAGTTGACCCTTTGCTAAGTCCCGCCCCCGTAAAGCAGACTGGCCAATGGTAGCGTTGAGTTGGCCGGGCTTGGTTTGCACCCAATTGGGCGTTATGCTACGCTAGCTAGTAAAGTGTGCTAAATGTCCTTTTCAATGACCGTTACAGCAAATAAAGTCCCGCCTTCCCTCGTGGGGACGATGCTGTTCCTTCATTTCATGTAACATCAAACCTTCTGTCCTCAGCGGCCCTTCGGCTCCACGGCCGCTCCGACAGCTTGACGCAGTAGCAGCGGGGGGGGGGGTCGGGGGGCTTAACGAATGGCTCAATTCCTTTCGCCTGTAACTCAGCAGGACACGTTTCACATATTATCATCGTCGCGCAATGCAGAGAGGGAACCGGCTGCTCGGCTCAACTGGTCGGCTGACGCGTTACGCGGCTACACGGGTGGATTCTGCGTTGCCGTGTGCGAAGATGAGCTTTCTGGTGTGAATATTTCATGAGGGAAGGCAGCGAAGAGGCTAGAAAAATATGACATAAATATTACATCAATGAATATCTTCTCTCTCCTTGTTGCCATCAGCCGGCTTGTATCTCTCCCCTGGAAGGAAACACAGAAGAAAATGTGTGCTGACATGTTTGTATGCTTTCTTTTTTTTTTTTTTTATTAAAAATATAACAGCAAGAGAGATTTTTGTGTCCTGGACATCGGCAGAGGAGGACACTCGGGTCGTATGCTGGGGAAACGGTGTTCTTCTATAATCACTTCGTATTGAACGCAAACAGGAACGCATTCATCTTTGTCGTCGTTTTCCTGCAGGTCTCAGATAACAGAGTTTTTTTTTTACTTACTTCCGGACGGAGGACATTAAGCTTTGTCCTTGTGGTCCAGTTGGAGGTTGCGTAACGAGGTCGGCCTCCTCCCTGGTGGCGGTCTGTGTTCCTAAAAAAAGGGAACCGCCGTGGTCCTGCAAGTGTGCGTTAAAATCTCAATCACGTGTGGCGACGTAGTGAAAACACTGAGAACACTCTGCAGGAATGGACGACCATCGAACAAGCAGGAGGTCTTTATAGACTCAGAACAAGTGTCTCTTAATGTGATTATGATGATCATATTATGATGATTATTTCCGTTCTCTCCTCCCAAGAATGACATCGACGATCTGAACGATCTCCGTCCCTCTTTAAGGTTCCGCCCCCCCCCCCCCCCACCGAAGCCTTTTGATCCCTCGCTTCTGCACATACGTGACCTTAAGTGTTGCTTCATCACTTTCTCCTTCGCCAAATCATTGTGCGGTTTTCACATCAGATGCTTTAGATGAAACGAAGGAGATGGCAGAGTACAATGAGGCCTCTTCAGGAGTCATTATCAGGATTCGTGCAGCAGGGGAGAGAGCTCCACACCGAGGACCAGCCCTCATTCTTATTTTTAACCGCTCCCTGAATGTCTTCTCCTTCAATAACTCTCCGCATCTTCAGCCGCCCTTCTTCTTCGTCTTCTTCTTTCCTCCCGGTCCCTTGAGATGGAAGCGAAGCGAGTGAACTCATTGGTATTGATCAGCAGCTTGATGCCGGCGTATCAGTAGGCAGGGAGGACGCAACATGCAGCGAGCAGACGATGCGTTTGAATCCATTATTTACACGGAGGAGCTGCCGCCGAGCGTCTCCCCAAAGCAAGAATGACGCATCTTAGTCTTCATCGGTGACGATCTTTCTATTTCCATCACAGGCTCACTTCTTCGTGGCCGGGATTAAGCTCACCGGAGGACTCCCCGATAGTTACGTAAGGCCTCAGACGACCTCACCGTGACGCCTGTTGTCTTATCCGTCGCCATGGGAACAGGAGGAGACCCAACTGGGAGCCCCAACGATCTCTGCTGTTCTTCTGAAGACCCGTAATCACATCTGCGTCATCGTGACCCAACAGTATGTGGCAAAATGCAGGGGGGGTGAAGGCACAACGAGGGGAGTGGAGGAGGAAAATGAATGTGTTGGTCCTCAGGTGGTCTCAGATTGCTGCTCTGTGAGAAGACGCAACGGGAGGCTGAAGACACTCGAGAGAAAGAGATCAATGGCACTTGTCGTTTCTTTGATCTGTTCTTTTCACTTGGTATCAGCTCGACTTCGCTTTATTCTTCAGCCGCACGTCTCTTCATCTCTTCAATCCCACCCCCCCCCAAGGGCTGAGCTGTTGGCAGACTGAATTTTCTTTTCTTATGAGAACATTAAACCAGCTGGGGGCGGGACGGGGGGGAGAATGTCTCTCTAAAGCGTTGAATTGGACTTTTGGACTTATCGGTCCTCTAACCTTTTCTGACGTTCTCCTTCTCGCATTCCTCCGACCCACTTTATTTATTGCAAGTTGTGCTGACGCCGTGAAACCGGCCTTTTATTAAAAAAGAAGACGGTCTTATGTGTTTTTGTTGTTTCAGACGGTTTGTGAAATTTGCAGTAAAACTTCAGTCCTCCTGAAGGAGCAGCCGAAGCAACTCAATTCATTTTAGTGTCCACTGATGGGCAATACGCTGCTTTAGGGATTATAGGCCAATAAAGTGGCTTCATAAAAAAATAAATTCCATTATAATATTGGCACAAAACATCTGGTTACTGGCTGCTTAAAATAACTATATTCTGAATCACACCTCAACGGTTTCATTAAAAGTTGTGCCTTGATTTAAATTCTATTAATTAGATTAGAGTTCGTCGGGTTTGAAACCGAGAGTTTGTTGCTACTTGGTAATTATTATTCATTATTTTCTATTTTCATTGATCTCTGAACTCCGATGCGATGACGTACTCCGACTTTCTATCATCCAACAAGGCTCTCTGTCTCTGGAGGAACCGCTCATCGCCGCTGGTGATCCGCCGTCTCCTCCGCCTCCCCTTCCGTCCACCACCATCCTGTGCCTTTGCACGTCTTTGTCTCCCTCCGTCCTCCGTCTCGCCCTCCTTCCTCCCCGGCGCAGGGATCATCGGCCCAGATGTTGGCCACCCGCTTAGTGGCTCTGGAACAGATGTTGGAGGGGCAGAGTCTGTGCGCGTTGGGGGCTTCCACTGGAGAGAGGGATTGGCGATCCGTGCCTCATGATGGAGGGACGGTACGAAGCAGGGTTGGGTTTTTGAGGGGTGTTTGTTATGGCGAGATGCGCTCATATCCTGAGATGGCTCGGAGCGCTGCAGACGCCGCCCCATCACTGCCTTTGTTCTGACCAGAGGGAAAAGGAAAACGAGGGCGGCCAACTAACCCGAGCAAATGAGATTAGAGGAGATGTGTACTGTCGATTTGAGACGACAGAGATAATAAGAGATGATTATTTTTCCCGCGTTGTGAAGGTTTTGAAAGGTGTTTTCCAGCGATCGTCCCTCATCACACCTCGGCACAGTCTGGATACAAGCAGCACTATTATGCCACGTGGCAAAAGCCCAATATATCGCTTCCTATGTCTCAGTGTGCAGCCGGTCCCCGAGAGGAGGGACGGAATCATAATCGATGGCTGCAGTTATCCCTTCAGTAGCCTGGGAACTGACTGCAAGCGTCAGCGTCAGTGTTACGGGCCTTTAGTGGAGCCCGTCGAGGACTCAATGTGAGTCGGACTTTGTCAACTCGAGCAACGGGGCGATCGGCCGTGTGGGTTTTGTTTTGCAGGGCAGCAAATCAAAGACCTTCGACAGCCACAGCGCCGGTTAGTTTATACCTCATCAGAAGGTGTCCAAGCCCCCCTCATACTGTAATTCAGATAACCAACCCCCCCTCCATACACGCACACACACAGAGGACACTGCTTTGAAGGTGAAACCCTTTTTAATTAGCTGCCTACTGCAGAGGAGGAAAGTTGTTAGTTGATCTTTTTCTCTGCACTATCGTCCATGAAATGCAACCAAAACAACTTAATTGCTCACATGAAGTCTAAAAATGTTTATGTGGTAAGCCGTATTCAGGTTGTGTGTTCATGCGCAGTTTAAAATAATATCAATTAATCTGTTTGTAAGTTGATTTATTGTTGTTTATTGTAAGAACATTGTCACCTTAGAAAGACCTTAATTTGTCAGTTAATTTGCAAAAAAGTACTTTTTAAAGAGTGTAAGAGCATTCATTGTCAAACGCCATTGTATTGTCATAAAGCTTCTCTTCAGAGCTGAGACGAGGATTATGAAACGAAAAACACACACACACATACACAAACACATGCACGGCCACATAAACACACACACAGTCACACACACAGCAAACAGCTGATTTGACACAAACACGCAGCTGGCCAGATAAACCCGTGAATGTGATGAGCGGGCTAACGCTTGACGTCACGCGGGTGCGTTAAGGATTATTTCATGTTCTGCTCATGCGAGGCAGCAGTCTGAAGCTGCGTGGCGTTGCGTAACATTCCGTGTCGAGGGGTCCGGGACACGATGTGACTAAGTCTGAATTCTGAATGAGTGAAAGACTGTCTGTGCTTTGCACGGAGATTTAATTTGCAAAAACTCAACCCCTGTGTATTCCGGATGGTCGGTAACAGACACCTTCCTCACCTCTCGCCGACAGTGTCTCTCTCGTTGAATAATTGCTCTTTTTTTGGTGGGTGGCTCCGGTGACGTGACGGTGCTTCTCGTTGGTCACCAGAGGTCACCCATCGCTCTGGCTAACTGGTGCTGACGGCGCGTTCCTCTGTGCCTCTGACTGACAGGTGGGGAAAAGCGGCCTGTCCGGCGCTGTAGACGCTGTTGTTGTCAAGGAAACCAAGAGTCCGGTCCCGTCGCCATGGGGAAACAGAACAGCAAGCTGCGGCCGGAGATGCTTCAGGACCTCCGGGAGAACACAGAGTTCTCCGACTACGAGCTGCAGGAGTGGTATAAGGTACGCTGGTACTAACCCCTTAACCCTAACCCTTAACCCTAACCCCCTAACCCCTTACGCTAACCCCGTAACCCTAACCCCTTAACTTTTAACCCCATAACCCCGTAACCCCATAACCCTAACCAATAACCGTACTAACAGTACAAGTCACGCTGTACTATAAACACTGTTATTTACATTTCATGCAACCACTACAATTGACCGGCCGATATTAAACATATTAAAGCATATGTTTGTTTCCGTTTTAGAGATTCAACAGTTTTAGGTATAACGTGTATAAATGATCTCTGCATTGCTTAGTCGTCTTGGTGTATACTCATTTCAGCAGTTAACTTTAAGCAACAACAGTAAACGGGTTAACACTGAAAGACAAAAGCACATACGACTATCAGAGGTCGTGGCAGGTGCCTGTCAATCACAAGTTAACCCCGCCCCAAGGCATACCCATCCGGCATCTCGTCCTGTGTGCGGTGTGTTTGTGTCACTTCTTTGCTGCTTTATGGGCGGATTAAACCCATGCAACAGCTGTGTAAGCCGTCCCCAATAAGAGCTGCGCATGATATCCCAGCACTTCCCCGACTTTACGTCCCACTGAACCCGGGTCTCTACGGGAAGTGGTGCTCGCTCTCAGCAGATTAACAGCTCCAGGATGCTGGAGACGCCGTATGGACTGCAGAGGATATTCCACGCGTGCTCTCACGTTGTTTGACAGTTGATCAGAAAAAAGTTGTGTCGCTCTCTGATGCGACAAAATTAAGATAGTAAGTAGTAGAAACACTGGCTTCTTGGGCACAAAGCTAATTTATCAATGTGCCTCCCTGAAAAAAGGATCAAACTGCTTTCAACCATCCAACACCAATCGTCATGTGGATGAAACGTTTCCTGGATTTGAAATGGTTAATTTGGATCTGATGATGTAAAACGTCTTTCCTCAAGGAGATGTACTATATTCTCCAGGACCAACTCATTTCCCCCCCCGTCTGTCGTCTTCTCCCCAGGGCTTCTTGAAGGATTGCCCCAGTGGCACCCTGAATGTGGAGGAGTTCAAGAAAATCTACGCCAATTTCTTCCCCTACGGCGACGCCTCCAAGTTTGCGGAGCACGTCTTCCGAACGTTTGACACCAACGCCGACGGGACGATAGACTTCCGGGAGTTCATCATCGCCCTGAGCGTAACGTCACGGGGCAAGCTGGAGCAGAAGCTGAAGTGGGCCTTCAGCATGTACGACCTGGACGGAAACGGGTACATCAGCCGCGATGAGATGCTGGAGATTGTGCAGGTGAGCAAAGGACTCTGGGTATTGTTGTTTCTGTTGGGGGCCAAGTTTGTTGACAAGGTGAACGGTATTCAAGGTCCCTCCCGTAACAAGGACCCACGAGAACACTTTTTATTTAGTATTTTGTCGAGAACCCCTTTCTTGAAAGAACCCTTCGTATTTGCAAAAGTCGTATCTAGAACCCACGCTGGAGGGTTCCATCGAGGACCCTTCAGTGTGAAAGGCTAATGCGGTGTAGTGCAACACGCAACAATAATTGCTCACAATCACATTTCCTTTGGGGGAGGGGGGCTGATGGGTTTCCCTGTCAACACTCATATTATCAACAGGCCTTGAAGAACTCTTGTCTTCCCGAGAGGGTTCTTTGGATGAAAGGTCTTTAAGTTCCACTCATAACCTTTGAAAAACAACTTAACCCATCATGAAGAACCCGTTTGGATCCCTTATTTCTAAGAGTGTAGGAGCTGTTTGTACTCTGGCCCAAGAGTAAACCGCAATAACATCATTATTTTGTCCTCTTGTTGGCGAGTCTTCTACAGTGTAAGAGGACTTTTTCAAAAGCTGAGTCATAATTGTCAATCCAGATAAACTGGCGCTGCGAGCGCAATTAGTGGAGTTCCTTACGGTTATTATAGGGGCCACAAACAAATTACAGTAAGTTCAAAAGGATCCAAAGCAGAGACACATGACGTGTGTGGTGACCCCAAATTATGTCATAAATATATTAGTTAGCAAACTTAACGCATTTGTTAACCAAATACGATCCTTAGATTTTGTGAGCACTTACACTCACTTGAATTATGCAAGTTGGTGCATTCATATGTTCAAAGAGGCTCAAGCACCGACGTGCAAAGACTTCCTTAGACATCCTTATCTTAATGTGCTGACTGCAGTGTTGGCTCAGGCGTGGAGGCCGTTAAGCACAGGGCTCCATTAGTGCAGGATGTAATCCTGTCACTGAAGAGGAGAAATAAAGACGCGTGGAGATATTTGCCCATGGATCTCGCTGTGTGTGCGTCTGTGTGTGTGTGTGTGTGTGTGTGTGCGCTTCTGGGTTCTCATAGATTAGCGGGTTAAATTTAACCAGAGTTCATCCCTGAGTGTGCAGAATACCGGGATCATCCTTAACCTCATTACGGTCCGTTGGATGAGAGAGGAGGGGCCCATTGAGAGACACAGACTGTGTCCTCGTGGAGCGAGAACGATAACGATCCAAGACACCAACAAAACATGAATGAAAATGCACGTCATTATTAACCTAATGTATAACGAGGTTATTAAAGAGCTGTATGGCAGGGTTGCTGTGTTACTCAAAACCTGTGTCATACACATAATAATGAGTCTTATGAATCAGATATCAATGGCAAACATCCGTAAATCAGGTCCTGATCATTAACTTTTTAACAAGCTTTCAATTGCATCGATGTGAATTTCTGTGTGAATCCAGTTTGTCCGCGGTTTGAATAAATATTTCCTCTTGCACACCACGATTAATCTTTCTTTCTAAGGAAGACGTGGACTTTTATAGCACAAGAGAGAAGGTCTTACAGCCGTTACCAAAGAGCACAGAGGGCTTATGTTGTAAAAGCCCCCTTCCCTTCTAAGGATGCTGCAGTCAGTTTTAACACCTCACTCCCCCAGTGGAGAAGCTGTGATTTAATGGGCACGTAAGCTGACTGTAGATCTGCATCTGAGGCCGGCTGATACTCTTTCTGCTCACTTGCAGAGGTGAATTTAATGCTGTCAGGGGACACAAGGAGCTCGTAACGATCCGCAGATGAAGATGTATCAGATCAATACTGTGAGCTCTGCTTGTAACCCCCCCCCCCCCCTGATGGCATGTGTCATACGTGTGATAGCGTGGTTTGATAGCCATGAGGACCCGGGAGCAGCTCTTGGCATCGGGAGTAACAAGTGTCCTTGAATCGTGTGGACTTTAGAAAGCGTGTTGATCAGCATCTTGGAAGCTGCAGCGGCTTTATTTTTGAGTTCTTTGCTGCTGAGTCTCCTTAATGGGTCCCTGACGGCCTGAGTTCACTTATCTTTCTGTTCTGCCGCCCACCCAAAACCTCGTCCTCCTGCCCCTCGCCTCCCCCTTCAGGCCATCTACAAGATGGTGTCGTCTGTGATGAAGATGCCAGAGGACGAATCCACGCCGGAGAAGAGGACGGACAAGATCTTCAGACAAATGGACCTCAACAACGACGGTGAGACGAAATATTTCTGGGCTCCTGGTAAAACTTTTAATAGAGGTTCTACCTTAAACAAATTCAAAGGGTTCTACCTAAAGCCAACGTAAAGTGTCATGCCTGGAAACATCTATGATTCATCCAAAACCCCTACATGGTGATAAGAACCAGGCCCGTTTAAGGGTAGCAACAAGAACAAGGGGTTCTACCAAGAAATATTCCACGGGGGATGTTTCTAATGGTTCTTTGGATAAAAATGGTTCTTGACAGAAGTGTCTCATGTAGCACCCTTGAAAAACTCAACAAAGGTTCTTCAGAAGCATATGGTTTTGGAACCAACATCTCTCAGGGTGGAAACAGGTTTTTTTGTTAGAACCCAGGATTGCATGTATTCCTTTTTTATATAAAACAATGTAATACATCCTCCCGTACACTTCAAGATATAGTCCCTTCTATTCTTTGACTTCGCAACACAAATCTGAAACTGCTCTATATAATTTAACAAGTGCACGTTTACATAATGCATAACAACACAGTATTGGCAGCGTAACGGTTCCTCCCAAAGCTCTTGTAAATGACTCAGCAGAATCATTAACCTATAAGATGAATGTGTTCATCAATACAGGACAGAGTACAGAGGTCTTTATGTAACACAGTCCTCCAAAATAAATACTGATTTTTTTCCTTTATTCTTCTCTCTCTCGCCTGCAGGCAAATTGTCCCTGGAGGAGTTCATCAAAGGTGCCAAAAGCGACCCCTCCATTGTGCGGCTACTCCAGTGTGACCCCAGCTCGGCCTCCCAGTTCTGAAGACCCCCGTCCGTCCCGCTGCGACCCCTTGGCCCCTCACCCGCGCTGTTGCTTTTCAATCACTCAAATCAATGCATGATGGTTTTCTCGTCTCTCATATCTATTTTCTTTCGTCTGTTTTGTGTGCGAGGATGGAGGAGGGATTTTAAGGAGGATAAGAAAAGCCATCGCTATCATTTTGCTTTTATTTTTTTGTTATATTTGGAAAAACTGATGGGACATTTGAGGACGAGCGTTGGTGGCCTCCACTAATGTTCCTGGATATCTCTCCCTCTCTCCCTGGAACGGTGGATTTCCAAGGAGCTCGTGACAAAGTGTGGATTTTTCTGTCCTCCGACACGCATGTACATCATGTATATACTGTATGTCTCTGTACGTCACAAGATGAAGGTCTCCTTCATGTACGGTTCACTCTCTCTGGCATTGAAAAGGCAGTATTATGTAGCACAGCTTTCCTTGTCTGATCAGAGTGGTCGGCGAGGATAATGGAGATTTTACTGCTATATGATCTTTTGCTGAAAAAAAGAAGGCCTAAGAACCCATTTGCTTTCTATTGATATCTACTCGCATTTTTGTTATTTGTTTTTTAAAATGAGAAGTTATTTTTTCTTCCATCCAGCTGTTTTATTTATTCATTTTTACTTGCTTTTAATCTGATTCCAGTTTACAGTGACAGGGAGAGAAAGCGTGAGATGCGATGGATCCCTTTGGGAGCCGTGGATGTGTTTAGGCGCTGTAGACGCTTTTGATCGACACCAGTAGCACATATCGTTTGAGCCGCCGCGTGTTTGTGACGTACGGGCTGCGCATTCGCCGCGAATGTAACGTGTGCATGTGAATCTGCAACTGTGAGCTCACGGCTGACTTTCACAGAATTTACATGTTGTGTTGTTTCCCAAATTTGCAAGTATTTAGAAGTTCTTTCGACGACGAGCAGTGAGCGTCTGAGAGAGCCGCAAGCCGTCGCCGTGCCGCATGATCCCACCAACTGACCACTTCCACAGGGACGGCTGACGCACGTCGGCATATTTTTGTAGCGCCGCAGTATTTGTCTTGCTTTGGCACTACCCACCCCCAACAACCCCACAACCCCCCCACCCTCTGACAGACAGAGAACTCACCAAGGGCTCGCTCATCACCCTCCAGCTGAATGCTTTTATGACCTCCCGTCAGTTAGACGAAGGGACTTGTTCCACGAGTTTTCAGGGTTTCCCCGCGTTGGTGGCCGTGTTCACGTTGGCGCGTTAGATCCGGCGCGGTCTGCTAACGCGACATCGGGAGCACCGAGGGAAGTGCAGCACGTCGACGGCAGACTGCCGCTTCTGACGTGAAGAAAAGATGCAACTTGTAAAAGGTTCAGACATGCAGGCTGCAGAGTGCCGGCAGCACTCACAAGGCCCCCATCGGCTGGGCTCCATTCACATCTTCCCTTTACTGAGGTCAGGCATGAAATAACTATAGTTACTGGTTAGTTCATATTTGCAATCAAAAGATCAGTGCATAAAACATACTGCGTTGCCACAAAGTATATGAGAAACGTCCCCTTTGAAAAGGCTTCATTTCAACCGAATACCATAATTCTTGGTGGTTTAGCGTCTCCACAAAGGTGTAGACAGACTTTACACATCTGTAACAAAATAAACTAACTTGTGGGAATCGTCTCTTTAGCTCGTTGGCGTATACCGGACTTCACAGACAAAACATGTGATTTATTCATTTCACTAGCTCACAAACCAAATCAGTGAATGCAGCGGGGGGGCGAAGTGAGCTCTCACCGCCGGTGCTGCCGCGTCCGCACATTAGGCCGGACGTAGGAAGGGCAGCAAACATCGGCGCGGGAGCCTCTTCTCTGGGATCCCGAAGTGTCACTGCCTCCGCCTGGCAGGATAAGGAACACCAGTTGCAGGAATCCGGCTCGGCCCTTTTTCTCTCTCGTCGCTGCCTCTGAGGAACCGGTACCCTGCGATGGAGAACGACCCCACCTTCTTTTGTTCTTCCTTACTAACCTCCTTTTACTTCCTATTCTTTCTGTTGCATGGAAACCTCTTGCGAGGATTGTCATGTTTGTTCCAATGTATCTGAAATTGATATATTGAAATATACTTATGTGTTTCAAAGCTGCCCGTGTGGACTGTTTTCTCATTTCTGGTTGTTTGACTTATGTAAAGAATGCACTGCGCATGCTGCCATTACCACATTTTAAGTTCAGCAACCCAACGCACATGGAAGGATGCAAAACTTTGAATAAATACTTTATTTACGTGTCGACTTGCAGTAGCACTTTGCTTTGGCCTATAAAAGAAGAGGCGCACCCAAACAGATGAAAGCTTGGACGTAAGAAAACGTTACGACTCGTCGCCGTCACACCTCTGCTTTCGTACTTATTAATCAAACGGGACTCTTTTCGCTTTTACAGAATAAACAAAACACAAATGAACAGGTTGTTCAGTGAACTTTAAGTGGGGTTTTTCACAGAATGGGCACTTTATGCGAAGTTAAATTAAGCTTGACCTAACTCCATTGATTGAAATCAATCAGGTCAGTTCTGAGCAAAACTATTCTATTAAAACTGAACGATTTGTCCGACGCGTCCATTCAGAAACAGAAATAACGTGACCCTCGTTAGAACAGCGATACATGAGCTCCCATAACGGGCACCCTGCACAACTAACCTGAACCGCTGCTAATTAAAGCATCCTTTGAGTTCACAGCTTTCGCTGCACTGACTGAATGATGATTGCAGCTCGCACCGCAGTACACACACGTAGAACGTGTCCAACGTGTCTAAATCCAGAAGCTGGACCTTTCCAGCGTGGCCCTCTGCAGCAGTCGGTGCCGCTCCGGGGCCCTTTGCAGGCTTCCTCCGCCCGGCCGGCGGAGAAGCCGCTGCTCGGAGGGAGGGAGACTCTGGTGCTGATGGGGGGGAAGCTGTGACCGGCGAGGAGCTTTGTGCTGCCGCCTCGGAGGTTCAGAGGAGCACCTTGGAGGGTTGGTGATGCTTCTAGGAGGTTGAGGTGTTGGAGCTTCAGTGTGGCGCGTTGGAGCGTCAGTGTGGCGCGTAGGAGCGTCAGTGTGGCGTGTAGGAGCTTCAGTGTGGCGTGTAGGAGCGTCAGTGTGGCGTGTTGGAGCTTCAGTGTGGCGTGTTGGAGCTTCAGTGTGGCGCGTTGGAGTTTCAGTGTGGCGCGTTGGAGCGTCAGTGTGGCGTGTTGCCGCGTCAGTGTGGCGTGTTGGAGCGTCAGTGTAGCGTGTAGGAGCGTCAGTGTAGCGTGTAGGAGCGTCAGTGTGGCGTGTTGGAGCGTCAGTGTGGCGTGTTGGAGTTTCAGTGTGGCGCGTTGGAGTTTCAGTGTGGCGCGTTGGAGCGTCAGTGTGGCGTGTTGGAGCGTCAGTGTGGCGTGTTGCCGCGTCAGTGTGGCGTGTTGGAGCTTCAGTGTGGCGTGTTGGAGCTTCAGTGTGGCGTGTTGGAGCTTCAGTGTGGCGCGTTGGAGTTTCAGTGTGGCGCGTTGGAGCTTCAGTGTGGCGTGTTGGAGCGTCAGTGTGGCGTGTTGGAGCGTCAGTGTAGCGTGTTGGAGCGTCAGTGTAGCGTGTAGGAGCTTCAGTGTGGCGTGTTGCCGCGTCAGTGTGGCGTGTTGCCGCGTCAGTGTGGCGTGTTGCCGCGTCAGTGTGGCGTGTTGGAGCTTCAGTGTGGCGTGTTGGAGCGTCAGTGTGGCGCGTTGGAGCGTCAGTGTGGCGTGTTGGAGCTTCAGTGTGGCGTGTTGGAGCGTCAGTGTGGCGCGTTGGAGCGTCAGTGTGGCGTGTTGGAGCTTCAGTGTGGCCGCGTTGGAAGCTTCATTGAGGCGTGTTGAAATTTTCAGTGTGGCGCTTTGCAGCTCAGTGAAGCCGTGTTGAAGCTTCATTGAGGCGTGTTGGAGCGTCAGTGGGGCGAGATGGAGCAGCTTCCTCCCATCGGCCTCACCACATTGATCTACAAAAACAAACGAACCGTTTAGTTACATTTTGTAACATATGAAAGCTGAGTTTTATCATGGAGATCTCACCGCTTGTCTCAAGTCCCTGGTTGTCTTCCTGTTGCGGCAGCAAGTCAGACCCAGGAAGGAAAGACACACTGCAAAGCACCGGGCGGAAAACACCATCTGGGTGACACAGGTCAGGATCAGAGGCACCCACAGGATCAGAGCGGTCCTCTGGGGAGAGATGGAGCAGAAGAGATAGCTTAAAATGCGCAGCTCAGAATGGATCAAACAGAGGGGATTCAGAGAGAGAGGACCTGATGTTTGTGCTCACAGACTACAAAGAGGGTGAGAGGTAAAAGAGCTTTCCTTGGAGCGCATGAGGAATTATTATGGAGAAGCACAGAAAAATGATTTAAACTGGCCGGAACTTCCTTACTGGCTCTAAGCTACAGCTGCTAACATCAGAAGCAGAAGCCCGAAACCCCTGGCAGCCATGATGGACGGTCCCCTGTCCTCTTAACATTGTCAGGACAGCATGGTCTGAAGAACTGCTTTACCTCAGACTAAATAAAGATAAATCTTTATTTTGGTTTAGCGATTTTTAAAATTGAACCTGAGGTAAAACTCTGACCCGGAAGCCGGGCGGCAAACATTTACACCGGGACGCCTCCCTCGCGTGTGAATCCAGCTCAAGACAAAGGTCACTCAAGTGACAAATTGTAGACGACTAGCCGCGCTAAAAAGGCCAAAGTGGTGCTGATGCGTGACGGCGTCTGTGAGGATGAGCGGGCCGGACAGTCACACACACACACACACACACACACTTCAGAATGTGCAACCGCGGCGTTGCGTTGCGTTTGTGCCGACGCTCGGGCCGTTTGAAGGAGCTCGCCGCCGCAGAAACCAGGAAAAGGTCAGAGGTCACACCCCGCCCTCTCGTGACTCACGTAGATGCGCGTGGGGTCAAAAGGACACTCGTCTGTGATGCCGAAGTAGCCGACGGCGTCGGGGAAGCGGCAATGGGTCAGGAGGTTCCGCCCGTCCCGGATCGCGGCGCTCACCGCGGACACGGAGAGTCCGACGGCCGAGGCCGCCGCCGTGAGCGCCGCGGCCAGGCTGACCGACAACAGAGACCACGTCTGGAGGCGAGACACAGGAGGGGGGGGGATCAGACGGCTGACGGTTGATGAGGCGCAACTTCCACAATGCATGGTGGGAAAAAATGAGGCAAAAGTAAATAAATAGAGAAAAGGACGCTTTGTGTAAACGTGAAGAACGTATTTCTCTGTGGAGCAGATTGACGGAGCAAAGCAGAGAGAGGAAGTGGGACGAACACTGACCAGGCCTCTGCTCTTCTTGTTTTTAGACAGGACGATAGCCAGAATACCGCCGACGATTCCCTGCAGAGACCAGACGGAGGACATTCAGATAATAACACAAAATGACGGACGAGATCCCGCCTCCTCCATCGGGTTCCCGGGGGACTCACCACGAGGCCCGAGGCGAGGGCGACCACGTTGGCGATGGCGTGCCCCGTGGCCCCGGCCTGCTTGTTGATGCCGACGTGCCGGAGCACCACGCCGTGCATCAGCGCGCCCAACAGGAAGTTCACGTGACCCAGGAGGAGCACGCACAGGCCCATCTTCATCAGGGTCTGGGGCACCTCCAGGCTGGCACAACACAAACCTGGAGGAGACACACACACACACACACAGGCACACACACACACACAGACACACACACACACACACACAGGATCAGCAGAGACAGCGAGGTCAAGCGCCCGGCGGCGATGACCGCGGTGTCAATGATTTGTGCTGAATACACAACCGCAGGACGGGCTGCAACAAAAACAAGAGGGACGCCGCATTTGACACGCGACTAAAATTATGATTTATTATTAGCAATTTTTGCCAATATGGCACATGAGAAAAAAAGATCACGATATAGCATTTAGCAATTGACAAAATAAAATAAATATTGGAAATAATCGTTAATAATAAATAATTATTTCTTTACTCCAGTGTGAAAAGTGTACAGACATCTTTGTATTTAATTTAGAACTTTATTGCAAAATGAATCTTTAAAAAATGACAGTGTGTTTCTATGTCTCCATGCACGCAGGCAAAGACAGAATATAAGAAAATAGTTCCATGTAGAAGTATAAACACAGGCGGAATTCTTATCACAGAGACAAAATGTATACGGAGAACTAAAACAAATTTTTTTAAAAAACATTTTGGGACAAAAGTGTGTCCATCGGCTTCATTTAACCCCTGAAAACAGTGACATGGTATTTCCGGTCAGCATGATGATTAATACACACCTGTGTCCGTGTGAGCCTCAAAGACATTTATTTAAAAGTAATTAATTAAAAGGACTCTGTGTCGGTTTCATCCCAGGAAACATATCGATCGATGAAGGGATTTAAGCAGAAACTCCTAAAGATGAATCGTCACGCTTTACGTCACAGCTCGTTTGCGTACAGGTGTGCGCAACATTCCTCACAAACTCATCACGTCTCCCGTTTGAATGGAGTTTTACAAAGTTGCCAGAAACGTGTCGTCTTTTACCTGCACGCGTCATCTCTGTGAGCACCATCGGGAGAGATTATCGCCGTGTCCGAGCGGCCAGCAGCCCGCCGCCCTCCGTCACCCAGCGGGACATTTTTCAAAATAAAATACCATCACATGCAAGTGTTTCAGTACATGGCCTCCAGATGATAAACGCTGCACTGTGTTGAGGTATTAGAGACCAAAAATAAATCCAGTCATAGTCCCGTATTTTTAAATATTACCTTTATTTATTTATATTTACTGTAAACCCCAGCTGTGGGGTTTTTTTAAGATCTGATGACCAGATGAAGGAGCAGAATGTTAAATATAAGTAAGGAATATTGCATATGCTTAATTGCCTGCGCAGTACAGAAGCACACCCCAGTTGAATTCCGAGAGAAACCATTGCCAGGTTTTCTGCATGAGGCTCAATGAGCCTGTGGTGCCACCAGGTGGAGAAATGAAGGTGGAGAAGGCGGATCTTATCCATGCTGGGATTTTATTATGTGGTCAGAAATGTTTTCAGTGCTTTGACAATGTTTATACTTTTTGGGGAATAGAAAAAACAAATGATGTCAGTTTTGATTGTTGTTCATGGACACAATCTGTAATATGATCTTTAGATCAATGGAAACAAATATTACAACATCCTCAGAAAGCATACTGTTTCAAACAAAAAAACAATATAATTATATAAAAAGTATTGGCTGAATCAGCGGGAAAAGGAGACCCGGTTCAGCTTGACTTTTTAAATGAATGTGCCCTCAAAGGGGAAAAAGGAAACACCTATTTGTGTGTCAGCTAGAGGCCGAACCACAATTACTGATCGCCTTTTAAGAGGCGAGAGAGGACTTGCAGTCGTTCGCGTTCGGGTGCACCTTCCTGGACGAGGTGTGGACGCTGCCTGTCCTCTTCAAGGTCACCATCCGGAAAGCAACCAGATAGAAGATCTCGCAAACGTTGAGCACCACGCACACGACGGACGCCCCCACCATGAAGTAGGTGAAGACGGTCTTTTCGGTGGGCCGGGATATGTAGCAGTCCACCAGGTTGGGACAGGGCTTGACGTCGCACTGCACCTTCCTGGGCAGCCGGAAGCTTTCGTACACGTAGTGCAGCAGGTAGAGGAAAGTGATCTCGAAGAAGGTCTTGATGAAGAGGCTCATCAGGTACGTCCACCACAGGCCGCCGTGCTTTTGGCCCGGGTTGTCGTACAGCCCGGTGTCCTCGCCGTGCTTGGCTCGGTACTCGCGGTCCCGCTTCTTCCGGTAGAACACGTGCAGCACCACCATGAAGGAGGGGCAGGTGACGAAGATGAGCTGCAGAGCCCAGAGGCGAATGTGGGAGATGGGGAAGAAGTAGTCGAAGCAGAGGTTGGTGCAACCCGGCTGGCGGGTGTTGCAGTCGAAGTGTCCCTGGTCGTCGCTCCAGACCCGCTCGGCGGCCACCACGAAGACCAGCACGCGGAAGACAAAGACCACCGAGAGCCAGATGCGTCCGAAGGCAGTGGAGTACTTGTTGACTCCGCTGAGGAGCCCCTCGAGGAATTTCCAATCCATGAGTTCGGCTTTAGTGGGTTTCTTTTGACCTGTGACCTGTGCTTTTTTTAAAGGGAGAGCTGGGAGACAATAAAGAGAGACGTGGACAGAGTTAGGCAGCAGAGAAACGTCTATTTCAGAGTAAAAATATGCGTTGCCTTGTTTTGACCTCCAGTCAGCCTTGATTTGATTCTGTAATCTCATCCAAATAATTCACTGCGTACTTAAGATAGTGCTTCTTTTTTCATATCAAACCAGTTCTTTGACACAACCTCAATCCTCTCTTAAAGCTCACAGTCAAAGGCGTTTTCACTCACTTAAAACCTTTTGGCTGGTTGAAGAAAGACGTCTTCAGGAACAACTTCTGAAACAAACGCAATCTTACACGACTGGTTTCGGCCTCGCAATCTTTTCCAGAAAGTTCAAGGTGACGCTCGAAGGAAAGATTCCTTTAAACGCCCTTTAATTAGAAAGTCTTTGCTTCAAACCGCCGATGACTCTTGGCCACACACGTTTCTAAGCTTACCTTAAGAAAGGCCCTCAGTCCATTGTGTTCAGGCGAGGAAAACGCTCAGCAGGCAACCTCTCTCCTACAGCGGGGCGAGGACATTAACTTCGCTCAATGAAACCACTCGTGGACACAATCAGGAGGTGTGGCCACTTTTGGTGTCGACCCAAAGATTACATTCAAACCTCCGGCTGACTTCCTGTCAGCACTGATGTACCGTACACTCACGCCGTACACTTACACGCCGCTGTCTCTTTTACTGTGGCAGTCGTGTCGGGATTGTGTACCCTTAAGTTTGAATGGGACCCAGAACACAGAGAAATCTTCCACACAGAAAACCCATCAGGGGTTCAACCCAACAAGGAATTTTGGTCGCCGTGTGACTTGAAAAAAAATCAATAAAGGTGATAAGGAATCCCCAGGAGGCCTTGTTGGAGACACGTTAAGGAGTGGCTGTGTGCTCCGTATCGCCACGTTTCTCCACAGGTGACTCAGTATCAGCTCCATTAGGCAGCCGTGATTCACACATGAGATACGTTCCTTTGTATCCTTTGATGAATTCTGGATTAAACCAGGCCACTCGCGTCTGTTTGTGCAAGCACTCCGGAGCCACTGGCACCCAAACATGGCAGAGATATGGAGCGCCGGTATCGGGCGGTCAGCATTACCGCGCTCGTGTTCTCAGCTGAGATTAGTACACTCAGTCCTAATCGACCGTATCCTGCATTCCTTCACAACAGCAGGGCGAGAGTAGCTTGACGTGAAGGTGGAGACCGTAGGAGTGATGGTTTTTATCAACTTTGTCAATAATGTCACTCCCATCGATAACCGTGCGTGGATTGGTTAGTAAGCATCTAAAAACGCCACTATTTTTAAATGCCCATTGGTTAATTTGACTCTACCGCTCCCATTTGTATACGAGCCGCATGCTTCAGGTCATTTAAAGAGACGAAGCCTACGTTAGACCAGGGGTTCTCAAACCGTGGGGTGCGACCCTCTGGTGGGGCGCGGAAGTATTACAGGTGGGGTGCGAGGGGCTGAGGGAAATGTAGATTTTAAATAAATAAATAATATATATTTTTTTTATTATTATTATTATTTTATTTATAAAATCCTTTATTAATCCGGAATAATTATTAATGGATTGCTCAAGGACACTTAGACGCGCAAACTAGGGAGAGAACACAGATCGAACTGCACTGTAAAACATCACAGCCCTGTTTAGTTATACAGTAAGCTATTTTTGACAAATATTAGTTATTTTTTTGCACAACTTTATTTGCATTGTTCCAACAAAGTGATTGCACATTTCATTTGTTTTTGTCTGATGGAGCAATCTGGTTTACATGAAAGTGACTTACATTTTCTTTATACTATTATTAACAAAAGCACACATGGAGTCACAAAATGTCGTTATTTCAATAAAAATTCAGCAAGGACCATTTTGTTACGTTTTTGGGGCCCGAACGTTTTTCTTCCTCCAAAGTGGGACCCGAAAAGTTCTCAAAAGTTTGAGAACGACTGCATGCGACCAACCTGCATACAAGTCATCAGTCTAACATGTAAGATCTACGTGCACCAACATGTGGCAAAGCAAAGTTTCACAAGATAGATATTTCATAAAATATCATCTTCACTTGTGAAACTCACAGTGAGTTTGTGTTCGAGTGCGACGCACTGCAGCTCTCACATCTCAATGAGAAAAAAAATCTCATTTAACAATCTCATTTAACTCTTATAAATAGTCAAATTACTGTAAACATCCTTTAATTCTTAGTGATTTGGGGTCAGAAGCCGTAAAAAGACAACAATATATTATGGTATAGAGATCGTCATTTTGAAAGGGCGGAAAATTGGACACGACATTTGTAGAAAGAACATTGACATGTTGCAGATAAACGTGGCCAACAGCCCGGAAGCTACCAAACACAGTTCCATACTCTTACAAACATGTCAAACGTGTCTCTCAGGAGATGGCGACGCTGTACGCTGGCGCCGAACTCTCCTTGTCCACCGCCTTATCCTTCTGCGCGAACGGCTCCTTGTAGGCCGAGTTCTCCTTCCCGCTCAGAGGAGTTCGGACCATCTTGAAGGAGTTCCCTCTCGCCGGGCGACCTCCTCCTCGGCAGCACTCCCGGAGCCTCTTACCGCACAGGTAGAAGACCTCGATGAGAGTGAGGAGGATGCACACAAAGCTGGTCACCACCATGAAGATGGTGAAGATCTTCTTTTCCGTGGGCCTGGAGGAACACATGGTGTAATGTTAATGTCTCCAGTTCCGCCGTCGAGTTTGCAAGGATCGTGAGCTCACCTGGCGATGTAGCAGTCCACCACGTTGGGACACGGCTCCTCGTTGCACTTCACCAGCGGCGGGAAGAACGTGGCTTCGTAGATGTAGAACAGCAGGAAGACGAACACGCCGTCCACCAGTATCTTAAACAGCAGACTGAAGAAGTAGGTCCACCACAGGCCCCCCCGCTTCTTCCCCGTGTGGTCGTACAGGGGGGGGCAGTCCTCCCCGTGCTTCAGCCGGTGTTTGCGCTCCCGTTCCTCCCGGTAGGAGACGTGCAGCGTCACGAGGAGGGACGGGCAGGTGACGAAGATCAGCTGCAGGGCCCAGAGGCGCGTGTAGGCGACGGGGTAGTAGTGGTCGTAGCACACGTTGTGACAGCCGGGCTGCCGGGTGTTGCAGTCGAAGTCCTTCTGCTCGTCGCCCCAGACCTTCTCGCAGGCCACCAGGAAGACCAGGAGCCGGAAAATGAAGACGATGGCGAGCCAGATGCGGCCGAACGCTGTGGAGTATTTGTTCACCCCGCTGAGGAGGCCCTCGAGGAAGGCCCAGTTCATGGCGCCGTTTTCAGGTGTGCTTTCGGACCACCTTGAAGGGGGAAGAGAGGGAGCAGCGCGCGGCAGGCGAGCATGGAAGGCTCGGACACAAACTGAGCTCAGCCGCGCACAAAGGCTCTTTAATAGAGCACTTATTACTGCTGCCTTCTTGGCACGGGCTGAAGGGGAGGGAGGAATATGGAGGAGAGCAAACATAGACTCATTCTTCTGCTGAAGTCACCGGTGGAGCTGGTGGATAGCAAACACCTTCACTAACGGGAGGGGAATAGAGAGAGGCAGGCTGCTCGATACTAATTCAAACACTCGAGCCCCCGTTGCTGTTCAGGGTGCAGCAAGTTAAATATCAGACAGTTAAAAAAAATAGTTTGACATTTGGGGAAATAAGTTATTTGAGGGTTTTATGAGAAGATCGATACCGCGCTCATATCTTAAATATAAACTAGAGCCGGCAGCCTGACTCTGGCCAGACGCTGGATACAATAAATCTGCGCACCAGCATGTCTGACCTGTGGGCAGATTTCCTTTTATAGGGGGAAAGAAAATTATATTATAAGTATAATTCAATTTATTCCAATTGAATGTTGTTTAAAAAATAACAACATGGCAAAGCATCATAACAATCAGTGAAGATGTGGCAAAACAAGCCAATGTTATAACGTCCACCGGTTTTAGTGTAAACCAGAAAAAGGACAAACTACTGAAAATGCTGAAAAGATGGTTTTGCTTAATAAACTATAAATGGGTTATTATCTAGTCTATCTAGCATCGTTGTTTTTTTTTACGAGTTACATTTTAAAATATAAATAAAACAAAAAGGATGTTTTGGGGTTTTTTCGGGTACATGAGTCAAACAAAATAAAAGAACTATAGCAAAAACTAAAATAAGATACAGAACTTAAATGACACACGTAGTGTCAGTAATGCTCCATAAACTAGATACGGGGTTATATGTAGCCTATGGACATTTTTTATCTCATTTTAATTTGTACTTTGCTTTAATTAAATGAGTGTCATTTTATTTGTATCTTATTTTTATTGGTACAGTATGACCGGAAATCATCGGGAGGGGGGAGGGGGGGGGGGAGTCATAAACCGAGACAGACTTGCTCCCACTGCAGAGCCGAAACACATCATGACCCCGCCGCGGTCCCGCTCCGCTCCGTGACCCCCCCCCCCGCCCCCCCACTCCCACCACCACCCCCCCTCACACCTTCAGCTGCGGACCCGGAGTTCACTGCCATCGCCGGGGGGGTTTGGGGTGAGCCGGTCACGCTCCCTCTTACAGCCCGCCACCACCTCCTCTCTGCACAGCGACGGGAGGTGAGAAGAGCGAGCTGCCGGTGGGACGACCCGCCGCCGGCTATCGGCTAACCTAGCTGTCGGCTAGCGCTGAGCTAACCTAGCTAGCTAGCGAGCGAGCTAAGTCGTTAGCGCCCGGTCGAACTAACGAACCGGACGCCTGCCTGTCAGCCACGTTTAACCGTGACCGTTCTGTACACAACGGCCCGTCTTGTACGCGGTCGATGTCACTTCGACGGTGGAAGTTTTAGTTAAGTTTTTGGCCAAGATAAAAAAATACTAAAGTGTCAATTTTGACAGACTCACTAGGAATGTTTTATGTCCTTTAAAATAAAAGCCCGACCGAACTCATATCTTCTTAAAAAAGCAAAGCTGCAGAAGCGAAGCTAATGTAATTATTAGCCTCATTAAAAGTGTTGTGTCTCCGAATATTTCACATATGCCGAGATTTTGCATTAGCTCAGAAGCAGCCAGTTGATTCTTTATAATGTAAATAATTTAGTAAAGCAACACTTTCGCTATTAACATTAAGTCAGTGTGTGCTGGTGATTTTTAATTGGTGTTTTAGTCATCAGAGCTGTACATATATGTTGTTACAACCATTGCCAGATTAAAGTGAGGTGATTATTACAAGTGTTATAACCATTACCAGAGAACAGTTAGACACGTAAAAATCTGCCCTTTAAATGCTTTTATTGTGGTGGCCACATTGCAACACTTCCGCGTTGTACACGTCATCTACCTGCTAACTTACCGAGCTGATGGGAGGCTGGTGCTCCCGGGAACCGAGCGGAGTTGACGCCGTTAGCCCATCCGACGCATCCTGCAGAGCGACTCATCTGCGGTCGCGGTTTTTTGTTTATTTGCGCGCGCGTGTGCGTTTGTTTGTTTGTTTTTGGCAGCATGCGAACGGGGGGCGCTTAACCCCGCAGCCCACCCACCGCAGCGAGGCTCCCGTCCGACTCCGCAGAGGTCCGGCCGAGCTGAACCATGCGACAGTGGTGCGTCCCCGCCGCGACCCCTCGCACCGAACCCCTCCCGGGGCGGCTGTCCGTCTCACCCCCTCCACCAGGTGAGGAAACCTCGGACGCGGAGCAAACTTTAAACCCCACCCCCACCCCCCCCATAAATAGACCATAATAAAAGTGAGCGGACCCGCTGTGCCCCCCCGAGAGGCGCGGGTCTGTCCTGTGAACAATGTGACACACAATCCTCTGCATCGGCTTAGATCCCATTGAGACCCACTTTCTTTTTTTACTGGCTCTTATTTTAGAACATTTTAACGTCCTAAAATCCTCCCTATGATGAGTTCAAAGTGGGTCCGCCACATGTCAAATGTATAAAGTGCTGTTGTGTACCTGAACAGGTCGAGTAAACAAGGTCCAGGTTTAGTTTAATGCTGTCGTGGTGTGGACACTGAGCAGAGAAGGGCCCGGCCCCCGGCCCCCGGCCCCCTGCACAGCACAGGCCGTGCAGAGGATGCATGTGACTGGCCCTGATGTCAGGTTATGTATGCAGCAGTGATCTTACTTTAATTCCACCCTGGACGCATGGAGCAAGGTTAGCCCCAAGTGTCTGTGCCAAGTGTTTGAAAGGGTGCCAACATTTCTGAATGACCCAGGGGTTCTTCAGAGGAGAATGCAGTCCCCCCCACTAGTCCCTTGTTGTTAGCATAACTAAAGTTTAAAGCGTTGTACTTAGGATGAATAAACCCGGATGAAAGAAGTGTCACATTCATTTTGGCTTTTAAATGTCTTTTCATCTATTTATAATCCTTTTATCAGTTTGTCTGCAGGTTCCAAAAGACATTTTATCTAAATTTGCGATCTGTCAAAGTTAGAGATAAATATAGCTGCATATGTCCTGGCAACACTTAGTCGGGTGTTTGTTGCCGTTTATCTGGTGAGCAAATCTTTTGGGTATTAATACACCCCCCCTACACACAAACACACACTTTGTATCTGCAGATGCCAGGATGGAGTGCTGCGGGGTGGAGCCGCGCTACACCATCGAACAGATCGACCTCCTGCAGCGCCTGCGTCTCTCCGGCATGACCAAGCCTCAGATCATCCACGCCCTGGAGTCCCTGGAGAGGCTGGACCCGGACCGCCGCCCGCCCCGCTGTGACTCTCAGCCCGCCCCGTCCAACAACGCCCCCACCCCCGCCGCCGCGGCTCCCGCCCCGTCCTCCTCCACGTCCTCCTCCTCCTCGCTCTCCCTGGCCTCCGCCACCACGCAGACCTCCGGCCTGGACGGCGCCGCGCTGTCCCCTAGCAACAGCTACGAGGCCTCTCCTCCGCCCCTCTACCCTCCCAGCGTGGCGGTTCAGCGGTCCTTCAGCTACGACATGATGGGGGAGGAGGAGTGGGACCTGGAGGAGAAGGTGGAGGAGTACATGAGGTGAGCGGGGGAAAGGAGGAGGAGGAGGAGCAGCTCGCTGTTCTCAGAGAGCTGGGTGAGGACAGACGCCTAAAGAATGGGAGAGACAAGGAGAGACTATTATAACACCCGATAATGGCAGCTGAGGTCCCCCGAGCTGTAGGCTTATTCTCCAGAATTTGAATGGAGTTAATTCAGGTCGAGTGTTTAGGGACGGTTGGAAAAAAAGAGAAGCATCAGTGAATAAGGTTAGTGGGAGCAAAGGGCGCCGCGCTTCTGACGCCGCCGCGGCTTGTTGTTGCTTCTTGCAGGAGAGACAGCAACATGGTGAAGGAGGAGATCAAGACGTTCCTCAACAACCGCAGGATCTCTCAGGCCATCGTGGGCCAAGTCACAGGTACGCGTCAGATGCGGCGAATGACTTGATTGATGCGAAGGCAGTCCGTCGTGTCCCGATGAGCATCGATTCCTGATGCCAGAGGTGGAATCCACTTAATCTGCCACAGAATGGAAGCGGCTAAGAAGCAGCTCTGACAAAAACACAAGCAAAACCCCCAAAAATCATAGAACTTTCCTAGAAAACTCGAACTGCAGTAAATTAGAGATGTGAAGCGTAGTTTACCGAGCAGCAACACCGGTGTCTAGATTGTAGAATCTTTGGATTAACGGCTGTAAAACGGTGAACTCGAAACCCAGAAACGGAAGATTATTCGCCAACCTGCTTGATAAATTATTTCTAGTTTCAGTCACCTTTTAACAAGAATACCTCCCGGTGCCAACATTTCTTGGTTCCAGCGTCCAAGCTTCATCCGTGTTTTGATTTTATTTTAAATGAAGTAAATAGTCAAATTGGGAATGATGAGCAGAAATGTATTGTCATCAAAATACAGCTGACTGGTAAACCTACAACAATAATAACGAATGTCTAAGTAAGTCAAATAAAGTAAAGCGGTGCCTTCACTGGTTTTGAAACGGCTTGTTTGACCGAAGGATGAAGGAGGGACAATGCGACGAGCTAAAGTAGGTCGGTAACGTCCGCAGCCAGAGGCTCCGCCTCTCCGCAGTAAACCGCGAACTACGAGTAGCGGCACGTTGTCAAAGTACTGCACCAAACCACGTGTCCTTAATTAAGGTATTGATATCGGAGGGAGGGGGGGGAGCTCAACAGGGTCTGGCTCACAGCCGATCCCGCCGGTCCAGATGCTGTTCGGGGGCCGCCGCTTAATAAATCAATGTTTGTAATGTGTGAGGGTGACGTGCCCCCCCCCCCCCCCTACCTCCCCCATCCCTCCCTCACAGGCATCAGCCAGAGTTACATCTCCCAGTGGCTTCTGCAGCAGGGCCTGGAGATGAGCGACTCCAAGCGCCGCGCCTTCTACCGCTGGTACCTGCTGGAGAGGAACAACCCGGGTGAGTCGTGGGGCGGTTCGAGCCGGTCGCGGAGGGAGGGGGGATTATAGACCACTGCTTGCTCTCCTCCCCTCTTCTGATCCCCCCCCCCTCCACCCCGTCACCCTGCATGTAAACACCTCTAACGTCTCACACGCAAAACTCCATCCCGGCCCTGCAGGTTCCGCGAGGTCAAGGAAGGACACAATAAATTTCAAAGCCAAGACGAATGATAAAGGTAGTTCTGTCACGGGAGACGCTGATCGATAATATCAAGCCTTCTGGTTTTGGAAATGAAACCTCGTGGTTTGGTGGGGGGGTAGAGTAACAGCTCGGGGAGGCGTTGACCTCTCGGTGTCCTAGGACACTTTAAAGCACCGCGGTGCTCAGAGCTTCGTGTTCCCGCCTCAGGCAGCATGTCAGATCTTCTTTCTGTGAAACAAACGGATGGACCACCTGCCGACGCCCCCCACAACCCCCCATCCCAATCCTCTATACCCCCCCCCCCCCCCCCCTCCTCCCCGACCCGCCCAAGCTTTGCTGTAGCTCCTCTGTAGTTCTCAGCTGGATGCTGGAGGTACTCTGGTGCTGGTTTTCATTCCTTAACAGCGATACTAACAATAACTAATTCCCTCGGTGGCCCACAATGCTTTGCCTCCGATAAAGGCTCCTACAGACCCGCCCAACGTGAGTAAAACAAAGACACAAAGAAGCAGTGCTGTCAGTCAAATGGACTTGTTATCCAAGGAATCTATGACAGACCTTATTAATCCGGCATTTGTTCTTAAGTTGATAAATCTGAGTGAAACCGGCCCGGCGGGTCCACAGGAGTTTGTCACCTCACCCAAATAACTCAATTTCTATTGGCTTAACCTGGTGTCCGTCATCTAACCCCGTGGCTGAGGCCCGCCTGACCGTTGGTTTTGTCCCAACTGAAGGGCTGAGGTGGAGTGAAAGCCAGCACAGCGTGAGTCCCAGGGCCAGGGGAGGGGACAGAGACGGGACGGTGGCGGGGGCCAGCGGCTGCCTCCCCAACCCCAACACCAACCTCAACCCCAACCCAGTGTGGAGCAGGCAGAGAGAGCTGCTGATGCACTTGCTGCCGTGGTACGCCGCGGCCGCCCAGGCCCAGCCAGGTAAACATCCCCCCCCCTCCTCCCACGCCCATAAGCCCCCCCAACGCTGGGCCTCAGCCGCCTGCACGCCGCCTGTAGCTCTGGGGGTGGAGGCCTCTCTCCTGCGGGTGGAACGTAGAGGAGGAATTAGGGGGAAGAGACTTTGGAAGGTTCAAATGTTTCCCCAAAGGTTGCTGAGAAGTAAACATTTAACGGAAAAAGGTCCGAAACTTTGTGTGAAAACCGACTCGTTGGCGGCGGCTTTTTTTGTCGAGCTGTTTGCGGCAGGAAGCCGCAGTCTCATCGGTTTTCGCTGTCGCTCCCCTTCAGGGGCCACCCTGTCGATGCGCTCCCTGGTGAAGGAGGAGCCCGATTGGAGGACGGGGATCGTGGCGGGCGACCGCGTGGGGGCGGTGGGCGGCGGGCCTCTGAGGCTGCGGAGGGGGAGCCGGTTCACCTGGAGGAAGGAGTGCCAATCCATCATGGAGAGGTGAGGTTGTTTTCAAATTTCAGATTTTGATTTCCTTCCTGCAGATGTTCCTCACGCTGCACGCAAGGGAGCATGAGACGGAGGCCGTGAGATGATCTGCAAAGGATTGTGGGTCTGCATAATGCATAATACACCTATTTATGCATAAAAGTATGAAAAAATGTTCAGTGTGACAGTTTCCTGAAAGCGACGTTTAACTAGTTTGTTTGGGTTCAGTTTGATACCGTGCCTGCGCCTCGTGGCTCGTTGATCACAGATGACAGCTGGAGGTGATATTAGTCACCCTGTGCTCGGGTGTGTCGCTGTAGTGACATTTATTAGGTGTCTCTCGTCTCTTCTCGGTGTTTGTCTCTCAGTGAGAAAGAGGCACGCAGAGGAAGGAGCGGATTGATTTCTGTATCGCGTGGTAGCTGTAAGTAGACGGCGCAGTCTGGGCACTCCCAGTAATCAGACCACACACACACACACACACTACGCAATCCTACCGCAGTGCTGATCCCGATGAGCGAGTTTACACCCAAGGACACGCGTGTGTGTGTGTGTGTGTGCGCGCGCGCCTCAGATGGCGAGACGAAGAGGTCTGGAGGAAAATTGATCCCAGCGTGTTTTGTAATGCGAGCTAATGATTCTTATTCAGCCTTCGGGATATAAAGAAGCTCAACGTGAGAGAAATAAAAAAAGGTTGCTTTCATCTCCACCTTTCATACTCCGTGTCTTTTATTACCGGAGAACCCGGAGGCCTCAGAAGAGACTTGAAATGAATCCGCTTGATGACTCTATTCCTTTACAGTGAGGACGCTGCTCTTACCTGCCGGCCCGTCCAGGAATCTGGAGCCCTGCCGCTGTGAGAGGATCTGATTCAGATATCTTGTTTCTTCCCCAGTTTCTTCGTGGAGAACCAGTACCCGGACGAGGCGAAGCGGGAGGAGATCGCCAACGCGTGTAACTCCGTCATTCAGAAACCAGGTGAGTTATTCGGAGGGGGATTGAGGATAACAGCCACGCCGGCTTTTCCTCCGGCTGTGGTAAAAGGTAAAAAGGATGAACCAGAGGTGCCTTTGTGGGGGGGGGGGGAGTGGTCCCTTTTTAAGGGGGTCCGTGGTGTTTCTCCTCTTCCAGGCTGCAAGCTGTCTGAGTTCGAGCGCGTCACGGCGTTGAAGGTGTACAACTGGTTTGCCAACCGCCGGAAGGAGATGAAGAGGAGGGCGAACATCGGTGAGGGCCGCACGCGCTCCGCGCATCAAGAGAAAAGCCTTGTTTTGTGTCTCCGCCCGTGACCCCCGCCTCTCTGTCTCGACGCAACCAGAAGCCGCCATTTTGGAAAGCCACGGAATCGAGGTGCCGAGCCCGAGCTGCCACTCGAATGGCGAGGAGGGAGAGATGCACGAGTTTGCCGACCAGGTGAATCAGCGATTCTCAGAGCAGGCAAGTCGACTCGGCGCCGCCTGACCTCCTACAAACGTCAAGAAACGGACAACTGGCGGTCGTAACTGATTATAAGAGCCAATCGGCTCCGTGGTCACAGACAGGCGGCTAAAAAGCTTCACGAGTTAAAGCTGCGTTCTCTGTAGTGACCAGCAGGGGGCGACTCCTCTTGTCCCATAGACGTCTATGAGAGAATGACTTATTCCCTCAGTAAACATTGTAAACACGAGTTGATGGTCTCAATCTCTTTTTTGGTCCAATTATGGTCCAAATATGCCGAGTGTGACTGTTGTTGCTCATTCCTGCTCTTGTCCACAGGAAGACGCCTCCTCCCACAGGATTGTTGACCAACAAGACTAGTCGTCGTTGGCGACCACGGAGGAGGCCGCGGCCCCGCCGAGCCCCCCCCCTCAGGTCCTGGACCGGAAGGAGGAGCTCACCAAAAGGGACACAGTGGACGAGGAGTGACCGAAGCCGGTGGAGTTTGGATCACATTTGAATTTCCACGAGAGGAAATAGGAAAAGGTGTCTCCTCCTCCGCCCACGTAGAGACTTTCGAGACGAATTGCACCCAAAGGTCAAAGGCAGACGGGTGCTGAAGCTCGCTGAGGTGCCTCTGATAGTAAGGAGGCCACTGTATTTATCAACAGTAATCCTGCTTATATTAATGGCAATATACAGTATATATAAATATATATATATATCAATATATAGTGCATTCCAAGATGGTATTAAAGAGCCTAAATTCCTTAGAGGGAGGATTATGTAATGGATACCTCGCCCGTTTTAAAGCTAAGCCTCTTCTTTGTGTCTTCGCTACATGCCTTCCGTTAGCCTTTAAAAGGAGCGCTTGTTTTGATGGACTGTGGTGACGTGAGTGTGCCAAGCCTGCAGGTCAGGTGCGTTTGGGTCCGTGAGACTCTCAACCTCAATCGGCTGATCAATTTCAGTCGGTCGGGCCGGTCAATCAACGCGTGCTGTTGCCACGGAGTCCGAAAAAGCCCTGAGGGACGTCTGGAATCTCAGGTAACCCCCAAAAAGAACGGCGAACGGATCGCCTCAACGCGCGTTGCTTTCTTCATCTTCGTCTTCTGTCGTCTTAAATGTGTTTAACCAAAACAGGACGTGTTATTTATACCTTTTGATATTAGCAAAAACGTGCGTGTGTGTGTGTGTGAGTGTGTGTGTGAGTGCGTGCACATCGCAGTATGCCGACCCGATGCTGCAGCTTGGTCCTCTTTGGCGTCTTCCCTCATTTGAAACCTCAACTGAAGCTCGACTCGATCCGCGCCGCCGGCTCCGGGTTCCTCGTTTTCCTTTTGTTACGTTTGAAAAAACGCTGAAAACAACAATGTGATCAAAACCGACGCGTCGGCACCTTTGCCTCCTGTTGGAATAAGCCTGTGTGTGTGTGTGTGTGTGTGTGTGCGCGCTAGATGACCTCCTACAGACTCGAGCAGCTGCCTGTAACGCTGCATATTTCCCGCTCCCTTGAAGTTCATGACGGACTACCACGTTACCTCGTAAAGCCAAAGCTTCGCCACAGCAGAGCAGAGCGAGCAGGAAGTGAGGCGGGCGGCGTGTTTGATTTGCTCGGTGCCGCTGTAGCTTACCTCAGAATGTCCCTCAGAGACGGGGACAGGGACGGTGTTATGTAGCATTTCCAACTCTCGTCCCGAGTCGCTTCTGATTATTACGCTTCTCTGCTTTTATCTTGACAACCAGAAATAAAAAAAATAACAATAAAATTGTAAACGAGTGCTGTGTTGTGTCGACTGGTTCTTCGGCGTGAGTTTTCAGAGCATTCGGCTGCTGTTGATAAAACGGAAGTGAAGTCAACGGAAGGAGTCTTCGGGTGGAGGGAAGGAGGGAAGGAGTCCTCGGGTGGAGGGAAGGAGGGAAGGAAGCACGAGAAGGTGGATGAATGGACTCGTTCTCTCATGGTGTAATCATAAAAAGTGGAGATGAAAAAAAAAATACTTCATGATCAAAATGTTTTAATTAAGGTGGTTGGTACTTCTGCAGTGAACATAAGTGTTTCTTACTACACGTATAAGTTTAAAGTTAACAGCAGCACGGTAGCTGCACCATCACCCAGAGGATGCAGGTGGAGCCGCTGAGCCGCTGTGAAAGAATAAAACCATTTCTGTTTAGAGCAACGTTTTCCTCCGATATGCTCAGAGCCTCGCCTGCCTGTGTTGAAGTTTAATTTGACCTGGCAGCGTGCGGGAAAAACAAAACTGAGGAAATGACATTTGGAAAAGCATCAGTGCGCTGTTGCCCCCGGATACGATGACTGATGTAATTACCTCAACGCCATAAGAGTTCTCCCCCAAGACCCCCAACGTCTCAGGCTGACGGCTGGAGGTTGTGGGAATGTTTGTGGATCCATTGTGTGCAGGATGCGTCACGGTGAGAAGGCGCCAAGCACATGAGTGGGTCGTTCCTCTTTCATTCCACCAGGGGGAGACATTGTCCACCCTTTTTGCGCGCTCTGATGATTCGACGTGAACTTCTGCAGATTTTAACCCTCGGAATGAGTCTTAAGTTTGTCTGCACGTCTTGTTCTCGATCTCATTTGCAGGACGAAAGAATCAGACGAGAGTCGGCCTCCGTTGGCCGTCACACTGACCGATTTCAACGCTCCTCTCGGGATGTGAGGTGTCCTCTGCGGCCGTACCCCCAAAAACATCTGGTGGACGCCCGAACGCAAACTCCTGCAGGATCCTGCAGCTGAGCGGCCTTTCAGAGAACCCGGCTAACAGTAAGGAGCTAACGTTAGCGCACACAATAACCACAACACGCACACACACATCGGGTCAGGCTTCAACACCAACCAGGCCCTTCTATCATTCATCCCCTCTGAAGTACTCACACACAGGGTTCATGACCTGTCACCTTTTCCCCGCTGACTGCCGGGTAAACGGTCCTCCGTCTGTTTTTGGTGGCCCTCGCAAAACACCCCGGTGACACAAGTGGCGTGAGGCCTTTCTTCTTGGTTGGTGGCTCGTGGTTCGTGCCGAGTGGTCCCAGTGGTCCCAGCTAGCTTTTTCATCACGCGCCTTTTTTTTTTTTTTCCCGCCGAGAGAAACGCGTTCCGTCTCTTTGGGGATCAGCTGAACAGCCTGGGCCCCCCCCCCCCCCACACCCGCCCCCCAGCCGCTCTTGTCTGATTACATTTCTTCTTATTGCGGCTTCACCTTTTAAGCGAGGGGTCCTTTTGTGCGGCGAGAGAAAAGGAGGCGCGGGGAGGAGGTGACAGCCGAGATAAAGGAAGCAAGGGAAAGGTCACCTTCAGACCAGAGGCCCGCTGGGGTGAAAAATGTCCCTCTGATTTCTGTTACCGCGTGTGCGTGTGTGTGCGTGTGTGTGTGTGTGTGTGCGTGCGTGTGCGTGTATGTGCGTGCGTGTGTTAAATAAGGCCTCAGCCAAATAGGTCATTTGCCCTTGAAGGAACAACTCAAGAGTGAGTAGGAGCCTTTTTTAAAACATTTTTTACAATGTCCTATTTCACAGGACAAATAACAAGGAAACACACACACACACACACACACACACACACACACACACACACTGCTCTGAATCTGTCACCCCCCCCCCCCCCTCCCCACCTCCACTCAGATCCCAATAAACCACAAAGGACTTGTCGCAATCTCACCGCGCTTATTATTTTTCTTTTTCTCTTTCCCGTAATTCAGAGCATCCCTCAGCGGCGCCTAGCAACTCTCCTTGGAGGCTTTGTCCCCCCCCCTCCACGCCCCCCCCCCTCCACCTCCTCCACTTGCTCTTTCCGCCATCGGGAACAAGGGAGTCTTTCATGTTGAAACGCAAGCGTCAGCTACACGTATGAATTTCACTTCATCCGTGTGGGGGGGGGACGGGTGGGGGGGACGGGTGTATACAGTCAATTTTTGCCTTTGTATTTATTGATTTGTGCAGGTTAATAAACATGCAAAAGTTAGCGAGGATGCTAATTTGGTCCCTGGGCAGGTAAACAAAAGGAAACTAAGGAGCAAAGCACAGTTGATGATGTGGAGCTACAAATAGAGCGTAAGATAAAAGACAAGACAGCGGGTCGACCTTGTTCAAGGTCGAACCTGAGACTTGAGAGGTTTAATGAACACTGAGTTTAAAGAAGCTCGAACGAGATTCAAATTATTAATAATAATAATATAATCATAACTGGGGCAAACGTATTTAAGCGTGATGGAGCAACCGTCTTTGTTTCCGTCTTTGTTTAAGGGCGAAAAAGCGTCCCAACGTTTTAGGTTGAACGACTTGTTGGACCCCGAAATCCGACAGAAGCGATCCGGCTAATCTCCCCGTTGCCTCGGCGCTTAGTCCCGGCTCTGCGGCCTCCCATCCGGCTCCGCCTCCTCGGACCTCATGTTCCCGCCGGCTCGTGGCGGTTCAAAGCACCTGAGCGCGCTGAGCCTCAGAGAGCGCCACGCTGCCCCGTGACAGATAAGACCCCCCCCCCCCCCACAGACACACACACACACACACACACACACGCCTCAGTGAAAAAGATTCAAAGCGGTAAACGGGATCAACAGCTTAGACGGCTTTTCACTTCTCAGCAACTTCTTCCTGCCTAATGGTCATGCTTCTTTATTATTGTGTGTAGAGGGATGCTGCTGTGTGTGTGTGTGTGTGTGTGTGTGTGTGTGTGTGTGTGTGTGGGGGGGGGGTGGGTGGTCTTGTGAGGGACTTTATTCTCCTGTGTACTGGAGTGTAGGAGATGCCAGAAGGATGTCTCTTACTTCACTGGTGATGTGCAGCAGCCTCATGAAGCAGGGAAATCAACCACACACACACACACACACACACACGCACGGCGGAACGGCAGCTCTTGCCCTTTGACCTCCACTTGGCGACATTCGTATGAATATACCAACTCAGTACAAGTACATTATTACTTAAAAGAAGAAAAGGGGACATTACTCTGAGTCACTTTAACGGCCGCTGCCGCGCGGCGTGAATGCGAATGAGGCCCGAGCGCATCCACCCGCACGCCGATGAGAGCTGGGGGGCCGGCGTGCCGCAGCTGACTCTCCTCCCAGCCTCTTAATTCCTCGGCCACCTCATTGTTCCGCTCCGTGGAGCCGAAAGCGGTGATGGGTTCAGTCGGGCCTGTGTGATGTTTGCGCGCGGCGTTTTCCTTCCGAGCGGCAAATCGGATCGATGGAGGGGGATGAGGGGAAGGGCGGGTGGAAGGGGGGTCGTCTTGTCTGGCTGCTGACAGGGGACGACGTTTTAGGCAACCGGGCCGTTGTTAGCGGTGTCATGCTACTAGTGGCTAATGTAGCATCAAGATCGCGTCTTTCTAACTTCACTTCTCTGGTTTCTTCTCATGTTCAGACCTCGAATGAGGACGTTGCCAGGCAGCAGGACCCGGAGACACACTTCGGTAAGTGGTCCCGTCTGATGGATGGACTGAATTGACAGTTATTATTTTTCGACTGACAAACACTGTGAAAGTAGAATTTGATGGAATGAGACGCGGCTGAACACGGGAAATGGATCAGCTGTTTGTTCGGCTCCTTCTCCGGACTGTGTGCCGACCTCTGACCTCGATGCACCAGGCACTGAGCCGAGCTCTCTCCCGACTCGCCCCCCCCCCCCCCCCCCCCAGCCTTCCTCCCTCTCCAGGCGCCCGAAACAAGTCGAGCCTCCGCAGAAGGCGAGGGAGGCTTTCTGCTCAGAGATGTTCCTGGCCGGTCCCCCCCCCCCCCCCCCCCCCAACGTGATTCCTCCTCATTCTCATTACCACCCGCCGCCAGCGCTTCGGCTGACCTCGAAGACAGTCAGACGATAATGGTTCATTAAAGCCCCCATCAGTCCGTGGGAGGACAGTGGGGGGGGCGGGGGGGGCGCTGGGAGCTAGTTTGTCTCCTACACAGGTAATTAACACGCTTATTAACTCCTCAGCTCGTATTATAATCACGATCATGAGGGGAAGAAGGTGGAGGCGGAATATCTTAACTGCGTATCTGTGTCTCTGGCATGGGGGGGTGCCGGGGGGGTCGATGGCCATGGAGTGCGGGGTAGTTTCATGTGAAGTTGAAAAAGTTTGAGGTTATTTCCACAATGTCACGTTTGATGCTGCGGTGTGAAGCTCCTCTTCAGGGGCTGTTCAGGGGGCCGCAGGAAGAAGAAGAAGAAGAAGAAGAAGAGTCTGAACCTGAACGTGGCTCTGGGGGGCAAATGAACTCTCCTAATTATGGTTCCCCTGGAATATTTTTAGCGCCACGCGGGGCGAAGAGGCGACGAGCGGCAAAGCGCTCTGCGGCGACGCGTCCAAAGAGGCGGGTAATGATGCAGGGGAAGTTGTTCGACGGCGCCGAGGAACTTTTCCTGTTTCTTGCCATCAGCGGGGAAGAGCCCCACTTTCTGACACACGTGCGCTCGCTCCCAGACGCCCCCCGGGGGAGGGGGGGGGGGTTGCATTTGATCACAAGTCCTTGGCTGTGGGGAACATGGCGTTTAGTTGTCATGAACACATGCCGACACACACACACACACATATATGCACCTGCGTGTGCACTACCACACACACACACACACACACACACAGACCTTGATCAAAGGAATTCCTGAAAAGAAACTCAAAGGCGGATTTCTCTTCTCTCCTCTACCCTTCTATTTCTCCCTAAAAGAACAGCGGCTCTGAAGAGGCCCCGTGCGGAAAGGTTTATCATTTACAGTCATTAAAACCTGAATGCGGGATGTATTTCTATAACTACCTGACAGCTGAGAGCAGGTGAAGAGAGGATAATCATGGACTTGGACCCTGTGGTCTCCTCCCGCAGCCGGCCTTCGTAAGCCTAAACACATTTCTGATTACCTATAAGCACTAAATCCTGTATTTCAGAGATCACTTTGGAGTATTTGTGCTCTCCCATGTCTAATATGCACAGGGATCCAATGAGCCGTGAGGCCCGTTTGAGGCTCTCGGCTCCGGCCTCAATGCTCCACCTGTTCTGGGGGGGGGGAGGCTGAGCTGAATGCCTGATGATTTCAGAAATGAGAGAGAGAGAGTGATGTCTACACTGACAAAAGAAGAATTCTCCCTCTATGTATCCATCCGGATCCGCTCACCTCTTTCCCTCCTCCATCATCCAGCCCTCCATCATCCAGGCCTCCATCATCCATCCCTCCATCATCCATCCCTCCATCATCCAGCCCTCCCTCATCCATCCCTCCATCATCCAGCCCTCCATCATCCATCCCTCCATTATCAATCCCTCCATCAACCATCCCTCCATCATACAGGCCCCCATCATCCATCCCTCCATCATCAATTGCTCCATCATCCAGCCCTCCGTCATCCATCCCTCCATCATCCATCCCTCCATTATCCAGCCCTCCATCATCCATCCCTCCATCATCCAGCCCTCCGTCATCCAGCCCTCCGTCATCCAGCCCTCCGTCATCCAGCCCTCCATCATCCATCCCTCCATCATCCAGCCCTCCATTATCCAGCCCTCCGTCTGTCCGTCCATTCAACCAAACAACCTTGGAATCAACTGTGTGAGATGCACGTTTTATTGTATTGTTGGTGGAAGGAAGCTGGAGATGTGGAGCAGTGGAGGAAGTGGAGGAAGTGGAGGAGTAGCGTAATGCTCAAACTAATCTCACAAATAAAACCCCGAATCAAACCGTGGATGTAGATGCAAACACATGTGCAGGGTTCTCTTTCATTTCAATCGCTCGAGGACTTCAGATGAAGATCCCTCCGCGGAGACATCGATCCTCGTGGGACGAGGGGGGCTTGTTTCCTGTGGCGGCGGTGGGGGGAGATGAAGGGAAGAGGGGGGGGGTGGGGGGGTTACAAAACTAAGCAGGTGTGACCGTTCTGAAAGCTTTCATGGGGGAAAAAAAGCTTCCTGTGGCCTTGTAGCGACGCTAAACTGAGCGTGACCCTCCGACTGAACCCGGCTATCTCGGCCTCGCATGCTTCCTCGCCTCAATCGGCCGACAGCAGGAGAACCTCCGCTGACAGCGTGACACTAAAGGATTTCAGCCCACGCTTCCATGTTCTCCTTCAGTTCACCTCCACACACACACACACACACACACACACACGTGGGATCTGGTCCTTGGGTTTCTAGAGGGGCTTGAAATTGCACATCGTCCGTTGGGTGCAGCCTCTGAGGAGATGAGCGTGACCACCTTTAGTTCACGTCCGTCCGTTTGTCTGCGTTCATGTGAACTACTGGAGAGAGTCTTGGTTCCCAGAGGAAGAATCCTTTTGACTCTTGAAGGTTGCTAATGGGCCAAAAGGAAGTTGACATATTAGTTTTGTGGGGAAATGTCATAAAAAGTATTGTGACAATTTGAGCAGAAGTGCATGGTTCCCCGGGGAGGAATCTTATGGGTTCCTAGAGCGCCAAAATAAAGATGACGCTATCGTTCCCAGTGCAATGTCTCCAAAACTATAAGCTATGACATTTGGTGCAGACGTTGATGTCCCCCATAATTCCGAATGTTCCTGACCTCTTATCTTTTCATCTTGTGCTTATGCTAATGAGCAAATGTTAGCACGCTAACGTGCTAAACAAGATAGTGATCATGGTAAACTTTGCACCTGCCCAACGGGAGCATTTTGTCCGCGAGCACGTTAGCACGTTAGCTATTCTGATTTTAGCACAAATAACTAAAGCCTCAGAGCCAAAAGCGAGTCCAGCTTCCATAAGCCGCTCGTAGGAATGTTATTGCTGGACTGTTGTCGGAGTCCCAGTGTTTACGCCGCTCCATCTGCCCCTGTTTACCCCACGCTGTGGGCCTGTATGTTACGGGACAGGGGGAGTCCACACGAGCAGAAGGAAAGAGCTCGAGCTATCCGACTGGAACCCCTGCAACCTGCCAGGAGGAGTAACTCTTCCTTTTATGAGCCGATTGAAATTCAGCTCACTGTCTATTCGCTCTGTCAACGAGGAGAGGAGTCAGGGGCAACCTTGCAGCCCCCCGACACTAATAACGCTGTAACGGTCAGAGATACATCAAGCTGAACGCTGATAGTCGGAGCAAGGTTTTTCGCCCTCCCGTAGGAATTTATCGCAGGTGGGTTTTTGCCTTCATTTGTTTTGAGCAGGTGCATTCTGGGTACACCCGCGGGTGATTGCCATGGTTTTCACTCCGGCAGCAGACTGGCAAATTATTCAGCCTCCTCCTGTGCACGTTGTGCACGCTCCTGCGTATGCTTAGAGACCCAGTGCGCGGGGAAAGATCTGCTCTGGATCCGTATGCATTAGGCCAGCTCTAACCTCTGACCTCTCGCGCTCCACTCGGCTCCGCGACAGGTTCATTACCCTCTCACCTCGCCCGGTGGGAGAGATCAATCCTTCAGGGCACGCTCCAGCTGTTCTCACAGGGGTGTTGTTGAATCCAGGGAGGTGTGGGGGGGGTAGGAGGGGGGGGGCGGGGGGCTCTTCTGATGGACCCAGTTTTATCAGCAACAGTTTCGGAGAGACGCTCTTTGTTGTGACCGGCTGCGCCACCGGGGGGCAGTAGAGAGCCTGGAATGAAAGTACCACATCTCCCAGGGCACGTGTGGTAACTGAAGTTATATTAACCAGTTAAGCACTGGAGAGATGTCAGGCATCAGGATCAGGAATTAGGAAACATTTATTACCAAAATATGTCAGACATACAAGGGATTTGGTGCATTGCAGCATACAGTTAGACAATGGACACAAGACAGATAAGGCAACATAGTGCAAGTTAAAGAGGAAATAGTTACAAATAAAGTGCACCAGTGAACAGGTAGCCATATTCTACACAGCTGTGTTGTGAGTATGTGACAGGTGACAGGTGCATGTGGAGTGTGAAGGGAGGGACTGGTGGACTGTCAGAGTCAGTCAGTGGGACCGGGCTCTGTTGATGAGCCCGACTGCCGACGGGTTCGTGTGGCGGGAGGTCTTAGTCCTGATGGTGAGAGTGGTCGGCGACGATCTCTCCTTCCCTCCTCAGAGTCTTGGAGGCGAACAAGTCCTGCAGGGACGGCAGATTGCAGCCGATCACCCTCTCTGCAGAGCGGATGACGCGCTGCAGCCTGCCCTTGTCCTTGGCTGTGGCTGCAGCGCACCAGACGGCGATGGAGGAGCACAGTATGTAGAAGTGCACCATCATCGTCTTTGGCAGGTTGAATTTCTTCAGCTGCCTCAGGAAGAACAGCCTCTGCTGAGCCTTCTTGGTGATGGAGCTGATGTTCAGCTCCCACTTGGGGTCCCGGGTGATGATGGAGCCCAGGAAACGGAAGGACTCCATAGTGGTGACGGGGGGGAGGGTGGGGCTCTGTTCTTCCGGAAATCCACAACCATCTCCACTGTCTTCAGAGCGTTGAGCTCCAGGTTGTTCTGGCTGCACCACGACACCAGATGGTCGGACCCCCACCTGTAGGCGGACTCGTCACCACCAGAGATCAGACCATGATGAGGGTGGTGTCATCCACAGACCTCTGGACCAGAGCAGAGGGGAAAGGAGGCAGCCTGGCGGGGGGAACTGGTGCTGATGGTCCGAGATGTCATCATCATTATCCTGCTCTCACCAATTATTACACGCTTGGTCTGAAAATGTCTAAATCAAACAACTTACAACACAGTAACAAGTCATTACAGTAGATGGTAATTAATTAAAAAAATTCCTTTTTATTTGTATGGTATTATTATTATTGTTTAGTATTGTAACAGCACCGTTCAACGGGCGCACCCACACCGGGGCTGAAATTACCTGATAGTGGGAGGGATTACCGCCACGCACACACACACACACACACGCGCGCACACGGAGGGCCACGCTCAGACACTGACGCATACACTTCACGCACAGACTCGAGCAGACACATCCACACACACACACACACGCGCGCACACGGTGGGCGGCGTCAGACCTGAGCTCACTTCCGCCGGCTCGAGCGGGACCTCCATCCCACCAGTCCTCCCCGCTTCTGTTCTCCCATTCCCGTCCAGGCGGAGCGGCTGCGAAGAAGGGACCTGCAGTCAGCTGAGGGGGGAGGAGGGGGGGAGGCCGGGGGGGCGCAGACCCGAGAAGCAGCGGAGACGTCCGTGGCACAAACGCCCAGGTATCCGTCCACGCGCAAAGCGCAGCAGCGCGCACAGCGGCTCCGCGACCCTCCGTCCTCATTACGTAACTGGACTACTTTTTTTGCTTTTTTTCTATTATCGTTGGGATTTCTCGCGCATATTTTTTGTTTCTATTGATTTTTTGGCTGCACCGAGAGTGCAGCCCTTGACCCCCCCACCCCCCCACCCCCCACCCACCATACAGTAAAAATGGAGAACGACGACAGATATCTGCCCGAGCTGCTGGCGGAGAAGGACAGCCTGGACGCGTCGTTCACGCACGCTATGAAACTTTTAACTGCAGGTAAACTGGGGGGTTCACCCATCGGGGGGAGGGGGGGAGGAAAGGGAGGAGGAGGGGGGCAGTTTGTATACAACACGGCGATTCAAAGTGCTTCGCATGAAAACCATTAAAGCGCGCAAGCCCCAAAATAAACGGCACATCGCCGCGCTGTTACTGCCATGTGTTTCGCACGGGACGCGCACGGAGGAGAAGATGCTCTCTGACATCACGCCGTGACACTTCGTGCGTGTGCGTGTTTGTGCGCGTGTGTCCCCCCCCCCGTTGGTTCCAGCGCGTGACAGGCGCGATGCGTAAAGCGCCTAAATAGATGCGCGGCAGAAGACCTCCAAGAACCGCGCTGCCGAAGTGTCCCTGAGCAAGAAGAGGCGGCCGCCGTCTGCAGCCATCCGCTGTTAAGTCTGTAAATTGAAAGCGCATAAAAGAATATTAGGCCGGCGTTGAGGTCCGGCAGCCGGCGGCGCGCTGATATCCGTGGTCGGTGCTCTGTCTTGGACTCGGGTGGAGCACCGGGGCGGCTGACCCCCGCCAGGTCAGCGGGCTCGGTGATGGAGCGGAGGGATGCGGCGGTGCTGAGGTGGAGGGATGCGGCGGTGCTCCCGGGGCTGGAAGGTGGTGCTGATGTGGCAGGAGGTGTGAGAGAAAGATAAGATCTTTTTTTGGGGGGATTGAAGCTGCGGTTCAAGATTCTTTTTCATTGTTGTCGAGTAGATCGACGGGTCCATTGATGTCGGTGTGTGATACAGAGAAAACAAACATCACCACGTTTGACCCAATCAATGATTATTTGTTAATAAAACATCGGTAATGTGGATGTAATGACAACGCGGGTGACAACAGCGAAATCTCTTTTGTGCCATTAAAACACCACGATGCCACAGCGCTCATCACAAGTTCCCAGAGCCCGAGGTGACGTCTCCACGTGTCTCATCTCCATCTGCGGTCCCTGAACAAAGAGATGGCGTCGCCTGAAGCAGCATGAGGGAGTCTGTGGTTGTAAAGAGATGATGTCATCGGTCAGCCGATCATCAGAGCTGCTGATGGATTGATGAATTGCTTCCGGGTGTTGGGACGAGAGCACAAAGAGCTCCCTGAAACCCGTCACAAATGTTCTTTCCTCATGTGGGGAACCCGGTGAACTCTGATCGGCGGGGTCTAATTGTCTCCGGTAAAATCCGGCCTAAAATTGGACCTTTTGGGTGGAATTTTTCTTCATAAAATAGAACATTTTCAACCAAGTTTCGCTCAAAGTTCAGGCTCAAACTTTCAAATGTATGTGTACTTAATGATGGAAGTGCACTTCAATCCTGCTCTTACCTTCGCCTCTTCTAAATCCTCTTTTGATTGCACGCAACCTTTTGCCTGAAACGCTGCCTCTCCCCTTCTAGAAATCGATAGAATCCAGAAAGACGAGACGAAAAAGGAGGCGGAAGGATACCTGGACCTTTTCACCACAAAGAACATCAAACTTAAGGAACGAGTGCTCATACCTGTCAAACAGTACCCCAAGGTGAGCTGTCTTCCCCCCCCCCCCCTTCTTCTCGCCCTCTTCTCTGTTCTTCTCTCTTTCCTTTTTTTCCTTCTCCACCGTGAACCCCTCGTGATTTAATTCATCCTGCAGCTGGGTTTCAATTACACAAAGCCACGGGGTTACTCGGCAGTCTCAAATGACTCCTCTCCGCCTCGGTCCTTAAGCTCCAGAGTATAATCACAGCCGGTCCCGGCTTGTTTTAAGACGTCTAAGGATCAGAATGTTAATACGACCACGGCGGAGACGTCGCTCCGTGTGGCCAAGTGTGGCTGCACCAGCTCAGTCTGAGTCCCGATCACACATCTGGTGATTTTGATGTGTCTGTTTGGGGAAATTTGAGGTTGTAAACGGTTCCCGTAAAACTCCCACAATGCATTGCAGTGTGCACAACGCTTTACATGCACGTCTCCTTTTTAGCTCACTGGTTTTGTTTCTAACCAAAACTCCTATGAGATGCACAGATGCTGCCCCCCCACACTCCTCCTGCCCGATCAATGTGGTGTAGAGGTCCGGCCTCCGGGGGGGGGGGGGGCCCGGCAGCCCCCTGATCCCCGGGAAGCCCGTCTCAGTTTTAGTCCCTACATGAGTCCGCTGGTGCCGGATCGCTAGAGTCAGCGCTCGGCCCTCTTTGGAGCTTTTCCCTGCTCAGTGCGGCTAATAGCGACAGCTAATTGCAGGACACGTCCCAACATGATCACTATGCGCAAAGGCTCAGGAGGAGTCGGAGTCCGCTCCGGCTCAGCGCCCGGATGATTGCAGCGAATCGTAATCGACGGTGTTCCGGCCCCCCCGGGGTCTCATATCGACCTCCTCCGCTAAATCCGCCGCTTAAGCGAGTGCACGGCTCCTTCAACCCGTCCGCGTCGATCGGCGGCCCTGATCCTCCTCTCCTTTGTGTTGCCGTTAGTTCAATTTCGTGGGGAAGATTTTGGGGCCTCAGGGCAACACCATCAAGCGTCTGCAGGAAGAGACCGGCGCCAAGATCTCCGTGCTGGGCAAAGGCTCCATGAGGGACAAATCCAAGGTAATACACTCACACATCTAGTGACCCCTCGACCTCAAGTGGCCGTCCCGGAAACCCACTTTCCCTCTCTGCCCCCTCCCCCCCCAGGAGGAGGGGCTGAGGAAAGGCGGCGAGCCCAAGTACGCCCACCTGTCCATGGAGCTGCACGTGTTTGTGGAGGTGTTCGCCCCGGTGCCGGAGGCCTACCTGCGCATGGCGCACGCCATGGAGGAGGTGAAGAAGTTCCTGTTTCCTGTGAGTGTGTCTTTATTTTGTATTTGATACGATGTTGACACCGGCTAACGGAGGCTAAAGCGGTTTGTCGCTCTAAAGATGGAAGCGGACTTTTATTTGTGAAAAGGGTTATATTGGTGTTAAGATTTGATGAGATCTATTTCTTTTTATTAGATATGAACCTCAAACTTGAAATCAGTATCGGATCAGAGAAAGAGGGGCGCTGAGAAATTGCCCCTTCGTTCATTCGTAACCCATTTTATAGAACATTTTATTTCTGAGAATATTTTTCTCTTTGAGTCGCATTTCTGAGGTATTTCCAAAGGATTCTGCCCCCCCCGCACCCCCTCTCTCTAAAGATTGGACACAGTTTCTCATGAGAATTCAGAATGTGTCATAATTGTGGACGCCCCCCCTCCCCCCAGCCCCCCATTTGGATACGGCGGTGTGAAGAGTTCTCTAATTGTGTGTTTTTTTATTACTGCTTCTTTTCTCCGTTCTTTCGCTTTTAATTTGAGCACCTTCACACCCCCGAAGTGTCATGCTGCTGTTCCTCACGCTCTCCCTCTTCGTCTTCCCTTTCTCTGTGTGTGTGTGTGTGTGTGTGTGTGTAGGACATGATGGATGATATCTGCCAAGAGCAGTTCATGGAGATGAGCTACCTGAACGGGGGCTAGGAGCACGCTGCCAGGGGGCGGGGGGGCCCTCCGGTCAGGGGCCGCGGAGTCCCTCCTGGTGGAGCACACAGGTGTGGAGACACACACACACACACACACACGCGCACACACACACACAGAAATAGACAGCCCCTGTTGTTCACCTGCTGGGAGACGTGTGCGCCTTGAAGCAGCTTCATGTTTCCTCTCAACCAGACGGGGTTCAGACCTCAGAGCCGTCTGATTTGGCACTTTATTTATAATATTTTTTTACTTGTAAAATATTTTTTATTTTTTAACTTTAACTTTAGTCTCTTATTTTATACTAACCCATAGCATTAGCATTTCATTTTATTTTATTTTATTACTGCACTGCTGTCTTGTTGTCTATACTGTCTACTGTCGCGCACCAACCGCCAAGACAACATGTTTGACATATTTTGGCAATAAATGTTTCCTGATTCCTGCTCATCGTTGTTTGAAGGCCTCGCCTGTGTTCATATTTTAAAAAGCAACATCAAGCAATTTATTTATTTCTTCAGCTGTCCAGCAAATTGGATTAGACCACTGTCCGTCCAGTGGCTCAAACCAGTTAGCAGTTAGCTTAGCATGAATCAGCTGGCTCGGTTGCAAACCTCCGCGTTGTCATGCAGCCGAGCCCTTTCCACCAGCATTCTGCGCTCTATGCTAAGCTAACCGGCTAAGCCTCGCAGTATTGACTCGGCGCTCTGCCCTCCAGGGGACGGGGGATGCCGCCCCGCGGCGCTCCGCCCAGGGGGGGGGCGCCCCGGGGCGGCCCGGCCCTAAGCGGCCCGGTGCGGGGCGTGCCGGCGGGCCGAGGGGGACACCCGGCGGCGCCCGCCAGGGGGGCCGCCTCGGCACCCCGCGCCAGGCCCCCGGCCTCCGGGCCCCCGCAGAGGATGGCACACCCGCCCCCCCCACCAGCACACGCCCGCTGCAGCCGCCGACGGCTACGAGGATTACGTGAGTACACAGAAAACCGCGATGTCGCTGCTGGAGTCCCTCTCCAGTACCAGTGTAGTGCTGGGGGGGGACGGCTTGACATTCATGAATCATGAACAAGCCTCTCCCTGAATCTCACTCTGCCCCCCCCCCCCTCTCACCCCTCTCCTCCCCCCCATCTCCAGGGCTACGACGAGAGCTACGCAGACACGGCCTACGAGTCATACGACAGCTATTACAGTCAGCCGCAGGCGTGAGTGAATCAGACGTCTCTTTGGTTTTCACCTGCTTCTCACGCACACACACACACACACACACATGCATGCATGCACGACACGCACACACACACACACATGCATGCATGCACGGACACGCACACACACACACACACATGCACACGCACGCACACAGTGAGATTCGAGAAGAGCACAAACATTTTTTTTTCTTCTTCTTACCACTCTGCACAATTCTGCGCTGATGATGCTACTTCATGTTTCACGGCTCGGATTGGCCGGCGCTGAGATGTCTGATGCTGGAGAGCCGAGCTTTGATCTTATTCGAGGAAGCCAATTATCGCCCCCCCCCCACCACCTCCCCCTCCTCCCCCTCCTCCCCCATGGGTTACACTGGGCAGCTGCTTGATGTTTTTCAAAAATTAAAAGAGTTTTTTTTTTTTCTTCCCTTCTTCTCCCTCCATCCCCCCCGCTTTTGACCATCAGAGAGCCGGAAGACTACGACTACGGAAACCGAGAGGAGCCCGAGTCGTACAAGTCATACGGGGAGGAGGAGTTTTTTTCACACCGACGAAGAGAGGAATAGGATTCTCACCCTCGTTTTTTTAGGAGAGTGATATTCTCACCACCTCACGCAGGGGTTGAGCCGGATCCATTCGATTATCTGGTGTCGAGTCATTTGGAAAAATAGTGCTAGTTAGCTGGTTTTCCCTCCTTTGGTGTAACAGGCCTGGTGGGCGTGGCCGGCTCATTATCCAATCAGAGCATTCCATTTGTCCGAGATGGCTCCACCTCTCCAATGTCCACTAACCAGATTAGGTTGTGGCTGGAGTTCAAAATGGATTATGAGTGTGTTTATTTCCTGTGCCTCCCCCCCTCTCCCCCTCTCCCCCCCTCCAGGCCAGGACGACTGGAACGGAACCCCGCGAACAGCTTCAGGGAAGGCCCCGCCCCCCTCCAGAGGTGCCAAGACGCCTTACCGGGAGCACCCTTACCGACAGTACTGAGGCGGAACCCGCCGCCCGTAACGCGTCGCCGTGACTACCGCCCGTCCCCCACGGCAGCTCTCGCTTTACGCCGCCCGACAAAAGTAATTGTCCGTTTTGTCTTTGGTTCGGTCTTTTCCTACACTGGACTTTATACGAGAGAGAGAAAATTGGATAACCGGAACTGGTTTTTTGAGATTTGACCGAGCGACCAACTAACCAACCAGCCCCCCCGCCCGCCCGCCCCCCCACCCGACCACCCAGAGCGGCTTTGAGACGGGTTAGAGAGGCGGAGTTGGCTCTGCTTTTTTATTTTTTTATTTTGCTGTGATTTTTTTCCTCTGACCCTTTTTTATCCCCCTCTGTTTTTTCTTTGGGATTGTTGGTCTGACGTTTTTTAACTGTTTTGAGTGGCGCTTTCCAGCGGAATCATTGGCTCGTGATCCGAATCCATTTCAACTGTTTTCAAATACAAAGAATCTGTCGAGGGTCAGTTGCAGATTCCCATTTAGGCTACATTTCAAAATTCTGTTAATATAGCCCAATAAAATACCTTTTAAACTTACAAGTATGTAATATAGAAACAAAAAGAAATCTTAAATGAAGTGAAGGTTAAATACTCAATGCTAATGGAATCAATTCATTCTTGATGATGGTTTGTTTTTAAATAGTTCTAAAACGTTGTCCATTAAGATTTAGGCAGCAATATTTGTCACTGTCCTCAGAGTTTTGAAATATAGCCCTAATAGACACTGTTGAGATGGACTGTCCTCATATCCTCAATTTGTTATAGATATTAAAAATGAATCCTAAGACTCTGAAGACAAAAGAGATGGGCCTCGTGTTAAAAACAGTCCAGGTCTTCATTTTGTGATCTGATCCTCTATAAACTGCATGCAAAAAGTACACAAAGAAGGATCGGGACAAAAATCTCCACATGGGTCTTCTCTTTCTGCAGAGAAGGGATCCTGCAGCTCAGTCCCAACTCTTGTACATATTTTAAAACATCCTAACTGTTCTTATTCTGCCACTAGTATCTGTACCCTCTCCATAAAATGCATTATGCTACATGTGTAAGCTTGCCTAAATAGGTTACTAAATCTGTCCAAAAGATGTTTTGCAGCAGTTTGTCAATAAAGCTTAGTTTGTTTTTTACGAAACTTAACCTGCTTTATTTGTTTCCTGTCCTAGTGAGACTCTGAAATGGCCTTTTTTAAACATTCAGCAGTCAGATGTAGGTGTTTTCATTTTAAATCTAAATGAATGTATTGACGTCTGAATAATTTAACCCTACTAAATGATGTCTTGATTGATTACCAAAAGAGCACAACTTATTCTTTCTCTCTCTTTCTATACTTTTTAAAAAGGACCCAGAGGTAAGACCTCTAAAATAACCTGGATAGCTTCCTAATGTGTATAGAGTTCTAAAGCATTGAATGCCTGGGTATGTATAAGACTTTTTCAATCCTCTTACCTGTGGTCGTAACCGTTAACGAGAATTGCTTTCCTAGCTGTAAATTAACTGGATTCAAACCACCATCCAGGTCTTAGTCCTCATTGTCCCGAATGACGCTGGCACAGAGTAATGGCCGTGCACTGGTTATAACCTAGACAACTCCACCGTAAAGGTAACCTAACCCTAAATGTGTAGATTCCTAGTGTGTTTATCCAGCTGGTAAACGCGTGCACTTTCTTAAAATATCATTACAGTCATGGCAACAAAAAAAGGGGTAGACTAAAGTAAGAAAAACGTAACTTTTTATGTACCAAAATAACTGTTCTGTGTACTAACAAAATACAGTGTAGTGTTAATACGACTCTTGTTAAAATGAACAAAGCCAAATCTACGTCAACGTCGTCCGTAGAGTTGCTTCTTTCATTTGCTGTGTAAACGTTGCTTACTGTAATATTTAAAAGGTTCTGCCGATGCCCAAGTTGTCCAAAAAGAGGAAGCTGCGGTTGCATGAGCGCACCTTCTCCCGTAGACGTTGCATGACCTGCCCCAAGCTCCCGCCGGTGCTGTTGGGCGGGGTATTGATCTGGGCTCTGTCCTTCCTCCAGGCACCGGCTGTCGGTCACCCAGCGCCCCGGAGGAGGCTGGCGGTCTGCAGGAGGCCGAGCGAGCACACCCCAGGTTGGTCCGCCGGCGCCTTCATTTCCATCTCCACTCGCGTCAGCCACGTCGCCTCAAGTCGCGATGGACGGACTCCAGGCCTCCATCAGCGCGTGTTCGTACCATGTCGGACTGAATAAATATTAAACTATAACAGAAAACAATCCAGCTTCTTTATTTAGCAGATCTCGTTTTGAACTTTGGAGGAGCAGCGACGCTCTTCGTTGAGTCGCGTGGGCTAAATACGGCGCTTCTTCCATACGACCAGATTAGATTTAATGCTTTTATGGACATTTATTTGCGATTCATGGAGCTGGTAATTGGACACAGGAGCACGCGGGCGAGTACGCAGGAAAAATGTTCTTCTCGAAAGACCAAAAGGCGACAAATACGGTTTGATTTCTCTAGATAACAACATACAATTATAATTTTAAATGATGAAATTTAACTTTTTGTGTTTGAGGGCGAAAAGGGAAGATAAGGGGGGAGCCCTTAATACAAGTCATTGGGACCACCAGGAACGTCCTGTAGTCTCCTCCGGTTGCTTAGCAACCGGCGTCTCACGCCTCCCTGTAGAACCCCTTAACTTCTCCCCCAGACGAGCGATGGGGCTGCTGCAGACGCCTGCGGGCATCTCGGGCCGCGGTGACATCACGCACGCAGCGCCACCGCGGACACGCCGGTCGCGGCGACGGCGGTCTCGGGGAGAGCGACTAATGAGGATCCGCAGCTCAAGGCTCTCTTTGACAGAAGGTGTCGGGGGGGGGGGGGGGCGGGTTTCTCTCTCGTGTCTCGTGGGAAGGAAAAAGAATTGGAAGGAAATGGCCAGAAGCGCGGCGTTTGCGAAACGCGACTGTCGTTGGCATTTTCGCGGCGCGAAAGCGAGATAACGGGCGCCTAAAGGGGGGGCTCCCGATGCGCCTTTGATGGAAAGGTCACTCGCTGGGTTGAAGGTGTCGGACACTGTGGCCGCGGTGACTAAAGGAGCGCGTTGGAACCAAATAGAACCACTTGATTCTGTCGGAACCAAACAGGCATTTCTCCTCTTATCACCTTTAATTCATCACCACGCATCAAAGTGACCCCCCCCTCCGCCTGTGATTTTTGTCTCTCTCTCTGCAGTGAGGCCGTGCACAGGAGCAGCAGCACGGTGGAGTTATGGGGGAGGGACGGGGGCGGTGGAGGGGGGTCGGGGGGGCAGCTTGGACTCTGGAACTGGAACGGGACTTTGACGTTCTGCTCGCTGACACCCAGAAGAACCAGAGACGGACTCCAATGTCACGGGGGCTTTTTCCTCTGCATTGAATCATTTGGTCATTGTTTTCCAACGTGGAAGCCCCCCACCCCCACCCCCATCCCCCCCCCCCCCCCCCACCTCAAAGGCTTTGCCTCTGCAGACCACCCACTCCTCCAGCACATGTAATTGCGACGGCCTGATTCGCCATCAAATGAGCGCTCTGGTTACGGTGGGCTGTGAAATTGTTTTTAATTTCTATTAATCCTTTAAATTAGCCGTGATTCAGAGACTCTCGCCTCCCGCGAGGCGGCGTCCTCCCCTTCAGGGAGAGGCCGTCCACATCGCAAGTATTTGATTTCTTTTGTACGTTCCGGCCGGGTGTGTTGCTTGGTACCGACGTGGAGTTAAAGGACGCCCGCGGAGAGCGGATCGCCATCTCGCTGCGGCCGACTTCACACTCACACACACACACACACATCTTGGCACGTCCAGGCATGGCGGCCCACGCCGCCCCGAGGATACCGAATGCTAATGCGGCCTATTTGCATGTACCCTCCACGCAAATGTACAACACTTCCATAAGCGGCGCTGGCGCGCTATCGACGCTTCGCCATCCAAGTGTGATGATGCGGCGAGACGGGCCCGGGAGGGGGGAGGCGGACATTGCTAACTTCCCTCGGCCGATCCATCACGCCTCCGTTGATTCGATTCCCCTCTGTGCCGCTTTCCGCCATTACCGCTGATGTCATTACGGCTGCCCGTGGTGCCGGGTTACATTCAGAGGTCAGAACTCTACTTCCCTTTGTTAAGAACAGATTTGCTCCGGCCCCGACCCGTCCGAGGCTCCACTCTGGGCCCTTGAGAAAGCCGGCGTCTTGGAGGACGTGCGCGTCAGCTGTGAGGGCAGACGCCGTCACCCGAGATGAGACGTCACCAGTGCATATCCAAAACACGGCGTCCGCCAGCCCCCGTGTGCCATCATGTCTCCAGTAATGATTTCCGTGTCTGTGGTATTGTGAGGAGTGATAGAGGAGGGCGGCGGAGCTGTCTCCTTTTGTTAGATTCGAGGCCTTGTCAGCAGCGCCGGGCTGAAAAAAGAAAGTAAATGTTGCTGTGCACTAATCATTAAAAGTGGACTGAAATACGGGCGACCCGTCTGTTATTTTCCCCCCCCCCACCCCCCGCCTTCCCCCACCCTTTTCCCCCTTTTTCCATGTAGCACTCACACAGCGGGGGGGGGGGGGGTGGATGGAATAAGGTGACAGACAGCTGGCCAGGCTGTCTTTTTGAGGCCGCGGGAGAGAATGTGTTAGAATGCTGTGTGTGTGTGTGTGTGTGTGTGTGTGTGATGCTGTGGGAAGATTCACACCGTCGGAGGAACATCGCACGCCGATGCTGTGAAGACGCCGACAATCCGCCTCCCACAGATGCACATCAGCTGCTGCTTCAAGGGGGGAGGGGGGGAAATAGGGTGAGATAAGTGGCACATGCACGATCCGATAGAAACATACTATATGTGTGTGTGTATATATATATATATATATATATATATATATATTATACACATTATATTATACATGTGAGAAACGCTTCATATGATCTGATTCCTCGGGGCCACAGAGCGTCTTTCAGTAGCACCACTGCACCTGTTCCTCCGTCACCCGCCAACACGGTTCCTGTAGTTTATTACAATTCCGCTCGCAGCGCACAAAGCGCTCCTCTGTGGATTAATCTCCTCGAGCTCAAACGATGGATCCTCCGTTGGGTCAACTGAACGGTGCATTTTCACATGCTGAATTATTCATAGTTGTGCTCATAAAAGTTGACCTTTTGTTTGTGTTTTATGCTTCATGTCCAATGGGACAGTGTCCTTATTAAACTAAACATTTGCGATGAGTCAAACGTGTGACTTTTACCTGATGGAGGTTGTGGCTTTTCAGCCTACAGTCACAGATTCAGCTTTTCTAACTTTCACTCCTGAAACACAAATCTGGAAGGGATGCTGCTAAACGGATACGTTGGTACCTTTTAATCCGAAAAAACACTACAGAGAGACAGAGAATGTCCTCCAGGTGACCAAAGACGTGAAACATCTGCATCGATATAAAAACCTAAAGAAACGACACACGTTCACGGCGTGAAACAGCGTGACGCATAAAGACCAGAACACATATCAGCTCACATCCTCACGGACTGTTTAAAAAAAACCTCAAATCGCAGGTTGAGCCGAGTTTCCCGACAGCAGGAAGATCCATAAACACAAAGATTCATCCTGCTGCCGTCAGGTTGTCAGGTTGCTCCTCTCTCTTTCTCTTCATCTCATTCCTGCACTTTGCCTTTTCAGACCCTTCAGTGAAGCGCTGCTACTATTTTTTAACACCGCGACCTTTGACCTATTGGTAATGAACACTGCTGCCGTGTTGCTGCAGGAGGTCGGATGAACGCGCTGAGGCCCAGTTAGCAGGAAGAGGAAACCTTCTATTTGATTCATGCATCACTCGTCCACCTGAAGAAAAATAACCATTTTAAATTCAAAATGTCAAGTTAAACTGCGTTTTTGTGACGTTGACACTAATTCCTTGAGTGGTTTAACCGTGATCGTTAAAAGTACTTTTTAAAGCTGTTTCTTGCTGTTTTAATCCGCCAGCTGTGTTCCCTTATTTTATCATCGTTCTCGTATTCTTTGCTTCAATCGCTCCAATAGCAGCTGCTCGTTTAAATTACCAGCAGATAAACTAACTATTCCCACGTCAGGCACATGAATAACGCTGATCAGGCGATCAGGTTCCTCCGGGGTCACAGGTGTGAGGAGGCGTGGCCTGAGGAGCGAAGGGAAGGCGGAGCAGAAAGGGCGGAGCTTTCAGTGGTTTTATTTCCCGCTGAACTAATGAACCCAGTGAAGTCTTTGAGTTTCCTCGCTCGGTTCCCGGCGTGCCGATGGCTGTGACACCAGGCCTCCGACCTCGGGGGCCGGCTGTGATGAAGTGACCGTGGGGGCGTTAGCAGTGGTCCGGCGCCTGGTCCACGCGCTCGGCTCTTCTACTGGGACAGCTTGTCCTCGAAACGCTCCACTCACGCTTATATTTGGGTCTCTTCTGGGAGGCTTTTTTAAAAGTAGAACGTGGAACTCTGAAGACTGAATGTCGACTGGATGGCGTTTGCTCGGCGGGGGGCTGCAGCACGCAGAACTAGGCCGGCGATGTGAAGTGGAGGAATCTTACTTTCGGAAACGGTTGCCATGGAGAACCCGATGAGACGCCGCAGTGCAAAGTGAGTCCGCGTGTTGGCGAGTTAGAGAGCACATCTCGGTTCGTTTACTAATGAGAGACGAAAGGGGGAAGAGAACAGCGAGTGCTTCTCTGTGCGTTTGTGTATCGGTTTCTGCAGAAAGGACGGAGAGGAGACCGATGGAAGGCGAGAAAGAGAGGGGGGGGCTTTCACGTCCGCGTGGGAGGGAAATGTCACACCTGTCGTGCTTCCTAAATGACATTTATCAAAGTGCCACATGGCGTCTTAAAGAGCGGCCGTGTGTTTAAGTGTAGTTTACGACCTGAGAGCTCACGGCAGACGGACCTTTGGCTGCCGTTGGTATTCAGACGTTCACATGTTGAATGACAGCTCAGGTACGGCGTGAAGGGGGGGGGGGGCAAAGAGTGCTCTTGCTGGACCGCTTTGTGATGTCCTTGCGCCTCTTTGTCGTGTCCGATTTCCATCAAAAATAACGAAGTTGCTTTTCCCCTTTTGTCCCAAACCGGTCGCAGAGATGCGACGCTGGGAGGCACAAAGCAGTTCGCAAAGGGGGAGGGAGAGTTTTATTAAGTGTTGGATGTGTCTCATGAGGACTCACTGGCACTGATTCTGATTCTGCTCATCGGTTCGGTTCCGTATCGATGCTCAGATGAACGGAGCTCAGCTGAAGTCGGTTGTTTATGAGCAGGAATACAAACAAAAAGACTCCAGCTGGTCTTTAGAATACTCACTTGTGATTGGCTGAATCGTTTCTGTTATATTCGTTTATTTTTAAGCATGAGGCCCGTTGTGACCTTTGCCCCCCGCATGAGCTACACATTCATCGGACTTTTTCTGCTTTACTGGATTTTTCCGGCACCCGCTCTCCTTCCGCGGAGATGGAACATTCCAGTGAACGTTGTTCTTCCTTCGAGCTGCGCGCCCACGCACAGACTCGCATACCAGCGCTCACACTTACTAATGTATTTATTCCCTCTCTCAGTCGGCTCGGAGCACAAGACGGGAAATCATCAAACTTTGACTCCCTGGTTTCTTTCCGACTTTGCGTCCATTTCTGTCCCCCCGTCCCTCAAACTCCTGCCGCCGTCTCTTTGTGCCCTCTGCTTTCCTTGTTAGCGCTCGCCTCTCATTAGCTTCTCCTCCGCTGACTGCATGCACCTGTCCTCAGGTCCCACGCCGGGACTCTCAGCTTCTGCTTAAATCAATTTCCTTGTTAAATAGCCGCTGCAGGGGGTCAGGGGGGGGGGGCGGTCCCTTCGGTTGGGGCATGGATGGATGGAGGGTGATGGAGGAGGTTGAGAGACTGGACCACAAGTCTTTCACCCCCCCCCCCCCCCCCGGTCGGCCTTTTATCACCGCGTGTTCTCCCCTTTGGCCTTTCTCTTTCATTTCATTCCCCCTTCTGTCCTCTTTCTGTCCATGCTTCCATGTTCCCAGTGCGGCCCAGGGCTTGTTCTCATTTCAGATGGGAGCTAAAAAGGCTTGTGACAAGGTGTGTGTGTGTGTGTGTGTGTGTGTGCGCTTGTTGGTTCTCTCCGTTCTGCAGCCCGCGAGTCGCTGCACGGACTTGTTTTTTGGCTCAACGTGAGATTTTCCTTTTTGAATGAGCCTGCAGAACGTGCCGTCGGGTCGCTTCACATCTTCTTTTGCTCGTTTCCACGTCACCCGGCTGACACGGAATCCGCTGTCTGATGTCACGTCGGTGAATCGTGGTGATTATCGTGTATCCCAGCAGAAAGATCTACACCGACCTGAAGCTGACTGCGTGCTTCCTCCTCCTCTAGTTCCACATTGGTAATTGGTGGATGTGTGTGTGTGTGTGTGTGGAACAGACACACACACACACACACACACTCCTCCAATAAAGTCCAAGCACTCTGCTCCGTATAATTATGGCCTATTCCCTGATTAGTGCATTCACAACGTGCATTACTAGTTAATTGTTAAACAGTGTGTAGCTACCACGTTGGTTTCCAGTGGGCAAACGGCGCTGAGCTTTAATCCGATGAGATTAAAGATAAATGACTCCCCATTAATCCCCCTTTAGCGTAAACGAGCCGACCTGCGGACGAGCCCTTCACCTGCAGGTGGAACGTCACATCCACGGATGTGAAGGATAATGTCGAACGCTCGGCCATCGCTCCATCATTCCACGTACGGCGCGTTTGTTCAGCTCCATCGCCTCATGGGAGGAATCCATCATACGAATCGGTCCGGCGCCGATAAACCGGCGGCCTCGCGCTGCAGCTCCCGCGTGTGGAGGATTGATTTGATCATGCTTGGTGCTTAATATTCACGAGCTGAGGAGGAAACAAACGGCGGCGCGGGGTCGGGCCGCCGGGCGAGTGGCGCACGTCACACTGCTGGAGCAGAGATGGACAAAGGAACGAGGGGGGAAACTTGAACATAGTCGGCCTCTGCAGAAATACATTAGAAGAAGCACAAAGAGGAACCGCGTTTAGATAAATGACCCCCTCTCTCGGCAAAGAGAGGGAGAAGGAAACCGCCGCTGTTTGAGAGCGCGGATTCCCCCCCGGAGAAATGCGACGAGCCATCAGAACCTGCTCAGGGACAGATGGAGAACACCGGGCGGCTGTAACGGGCAGAAGAGGCTCTGTGGTGGAATAAAGCGCTTCTGCGTGGCTGCGCAGCAGCGACCTGCCCTGCAGCTCCGGGCCACAGAGGACACGATGGAGAAAAGCAGCATTAAGCAAAGTTTTCCCCCTTTAGCTCTGAGCCAAACGTGCTGAGCTGCACTTAACCGGTGAAGTAT